GCAAGCAGCAATCAGAGCATCCTCCCTGGCTCAGCTCATGAACACACAAGAGTATTTGCTGCAGACTCTGGAAGAACAGTCAGTTTTAGGCTTGCAGTTCAGACATCCTAGTGCTCATCTGGGAATAAGGAGGTCTTTCTTCTTTTCCTCCCCTAGTTCTTTCCCCTCATTTGTGTTCACTTTTGGCTTTGAATTAAATTGCTCTAAACCTCAGCTCAGCAAGAGCTAAGCCAGAAAAGCCAGAGGACTTCCATTCATGAACATTTCCTGGGAGTTCAGGCAAAAGCCAAGCTGAGACCTTTTTTTTCTAAGGCTAAGCAACATGAGGAGAAGTATTTGGAGATCAATAGCAAAGAGGTGGTGCTTGGAAAGCAGAGATACAGCATCCAGTGTCTCTGGGAGCCCCAGCACAGGAAGGACATGGACCTGCAGGAGAGTGTTCAGAGGAGGCACCAAGATGATCACAGGGATGGAGCAGCTCTGCTGGGAGGAAAGGCTGAGAGAGTTGGGATTGATCAGCCTGGAGAAGAGAAGCTGTGGGTGACCTAATTGTGCTCTTCCAGTGCCTGAAGGGAGCCTAAGGAAGGATGGAGAGGGACTATTTAAAAGGGCCTGGAGGGACAAGACGAAGAGGAATGGCTTTAAAGTGACAGAGAGTAGGTTTAGATTGGATATCAGGAAGAAATTCTTCCCTGGGAGGGTGGGGAGGCCCTGGCACAGGTTGCCCAGAGAAGCTGTGGCTGCCCCTGGATCCCTGGAAGTGTCCAAGGCCAGGTTGGACGGTGCTTGGAGCAACCTGGGCTAGTGGAAGGTGTCACTTGAAAGTCCCTTCCAACCCAAACCATTCTGGGATTCTATGATACAGGGAAAGATGGAAGAAAACAAGTTCGAAAAAAAACAAGGGTCTCACCCACGCTGGTCTAAATTGCCTTTTCCTCACCAATGTCAGTGAAATTCCCCCTTACCTCAGTTAACTTTTTGTCCCAAACAAAGCAGCAGGACCTCTCTGTTCTCCAGGCTGCACCCCAGCCAGGATTTTCAGCATCCTCATGGACCAGCTCCCCAGAAGACATAACCCAGTTGACTCAGAGGAGCTGAGGATGTGACAATGTAGAGTCCTGATGGGCCATGAGAACCACCTGCACCTGCCAGGAATGGCCCTTTCCCTGCCTTTACACCCCAACAGACATTTTCTGTCCCTTGCACCCTTCACTCAATACACGAGACACTGAAAACAACAGAAAAAATTCATTTCTACCTATTGATCAAAGTGCAAAAAACCACTTTTCCAAAACAGCCTGAGTCAAGAAACAAGAAATGTTATGCCTTTCCATTGTAACAGAGCCTTATTTATCACATTGGAAAGGGTACTTTGTGGAGGCAAATGGCCAACTAGTCCCTTTGATACATGGAGATGCTTCAAGATAGGTATGATATAGAAAACCTCGGCAGAGATATGTCCCAGCTAATCTGACAGTTATCTCTTTTACAGCCAACTACTGTCATTTCAGTCTTTGAGAACTGCCAGAACTGCTCTGATAACTGCAGACCTAAACACAGCAGAGGAGAAAGCCTTTGTTAATTAAGCTTCCTTCATTTTCCCAGTGATCTGGGCTCAGCAGAGCTCTCGGGGAGCCGCTGCTGTGTGGCCCTTTGTGCTGGTGATGGACGGCCACACGTCCCCCCCCAGACAGCTGCAGATCCTCCTCTGCTGCCTGGAATGCTTCCTGGGATGAAATGCTGTGGTCCTGCCACAAAACCAGACTAATAACTCAAATGGAGCACAGCAGATTCCCCCATGGAGGGGAAAAAAAAAAACCAGCCTCCCTGAAGGATGCACAAACCTGCCCATTGTCCGAGCCAGCTGATACACCCAGTGTGGTGTCAAGTTCCAGAACAGCCCATTTATACTGAATTCATCAGTGGCACTTTGTGCCCAGAAGAGTCCAGCTCTGTATTTTCAATCAGTTAGTGGCCATCAGACCTTAATGGGGTTTCTGGAACTGTGGGTGCTTTATCCTCTGTTCAGCAGGCGTTTGGCCACACTGAGCTGTTTCTCTGCTCTGTTCAAGCTGCAGCTCCTCACTAGGACATACTCAGTGGACTTGTGAGTGCCACATATGAGTCCAGACTTACTTCTGATCATTTCTGATGGCAGTTTGCAGTTCCTTTTCCTGGTTCTGCCCCCACATACACCTCTGGGTCACTGGGCTCTTTCCCTTGCCCTGGAGAGGTGCCTCCCTCTCCTCCTGAAGGGCAGTGCTACCTTTTCCCTCTAGTCGAAGTCACTGCAAGAAACTTCATCACCTTCATTGGATGCACAAGCGAAGTAGAAGAGAGAAACACTCTATCTTGCAGGTAATTACTTTCAGAGCTAAATTAAATGAGCTGATGAGGGGGCTTTGATCACTCACACCAGCTTTTTCATAGCCAGATCATGACAGCTTCCCCCCAAACCATCCAAAGTCTATCTTTGCTTATTTGCTCTTTCATATTAGACACCAGTCACCAGCCTGCCTCCTCCAAGCAGTCTCACCCACAGGTCCCTTCCTTTTCCCAAGGGAACGTCTCTGCCATTCAGAGTTGTTACCCCAGAACCACCAAAACCAGTTACCCACACTCCTGTGTCTGCCCCAGTGACCCTGTGCCCACAGCTGCAGTTCCCAGTGCTGGTGGGATCTCCACCAGCTCATGTAGGACTCAGACCCCTTCCAAATCCTTCCTGTAACTCAGGATCTCTGCCAAAAATACAAAGCAAAACGAGAGCTATTCCCTCTGCCTCTTCCTCCACCTTTATGGTCACTTACCTGGTGAGGCACTTGGGGTTCAAGGAGAGAAGAGGACTTGGCAGGGCAGGAGCAGGGAAGATTCCTGTGGATCTCAAGTGGTTAAAAAGATTCCTGCCTCAGGACCACTGAGGGCTGAGTCTCTAGTTTATAATTTATAGCTCACCATCTCTCTTCCCAAGGTCCTGCAGGCTCCTGTGTTCACACAACAACCCTTTTTCTATTTTATGTGCCACTCAGCTCAGTAAGTGCCCCCGGGCTAGTCCAAGCCTCGTTAATACCTTCACCCATGCAACCTCCGGGGAGAAAACGGCTTTTTATCAATGGAACTGCCTGGAAAAACAACACAAACATGGGGTTTAGCACATGGGGGGAGAGATTCCAGGCCTTTTAGTGAGGAACCTGCCAGACTGCTGTGGACTGAGCCAGGGCTGGGGAATTGGCTGCCACCACAGGGAGAGACGTGAGCCCTCGGCCTCACTGCTGGGCTCCCGAACAGAGGGGGCTACAGGAGCCTCAAACAAACCACTTAGGAGGGATAAAGCAAAGTATTACATTTTAATTGATCTAATCTGTGGCTCCCGGTGGAATTTGCAGAGATATCTTACTAGAATTACTCGAGTTTTATCAGGAGACAGCAATACTGGGAAAGTGCCTTTTTGCATGGTAAACTGCTCCAGATCTTGAACTGCATTAGCATTGGGACTGGCTGAGCAAAAAGAGCCCCCACTACAGTTTCAAAGATGAGAATCAAACTGGGGAGAGAAGGGGAACATGTGAGATGCAAACCCACCTGGGCACACAAATGTATATATATGGGCACAAGCCCAGGCACGTGAATAATGCTGACTGCTCCCTCGGGTGTGAAACCTGGGAGGATTTACCTCTGGGAGCAGAAAATACAGCACACAGAGACATTGGAAAAGGCATCTAAATTACAGCAGCTTTTATCCTCTTCTTCTGAGGTCCGTTTCTGCTCTGAGTGCAAAACCTCTGGACGTAAAAAAAAATAATAAATTAAAAAAGAGAGAAGGTGGCAAAAGGGACATGTAACAAATCTCCTTAAAATACAGACCCAGATCTAAAATACCATGTGGGTGGGGCAAGCTTGGAGGAGAGATAAAAAGCAAAGACACTGAGAAACCAGGTGGTTTCCCATCATTTTTTTTTTCTTGACATCCTCTGTCTGAGCAGATGACTGGAAGATCTTTGGAGATGCAGAATGATGTCTGGCTCTGTCAAGATTTCTCTTTATTCACTGCGTAGAAGCAGTGAAAAAAAACATCAGGTCTGATAAATGATTCATGGAGCCTTTTCTTCTGCTAATCTGTAAATAAATTTTAAAAAGCAGCTTCTTTTTGATGAATATATTCCGCTGCTCGTAAAAACATGTTGGCCTTTAAGCACGACACGGGCACACTCAGATGTCCCCAGTGCTGCTGTCAGGGCTCTGAAAGCCCAACCTGGCTCCTTGCAGTGCAGGGATGGAGTTTTACTGACTTACCTCAGCTGAGGACCTGCCTCTCCCATCCCATGGCTCTGGATTCCTGGGCTCTGGGGAGGTCTTGCCTTATCTCACTGCTCTGTTTAGTCAGGAAGAGGGGAACATCCTGTGGATTTAGGACCTCTCTCATGTGACATTCTGCACAACAAGCTCTAAATCCTCTCCTCCTCCTTGTTGCATGTTTTAATGTCCCTGTAGGGCAGGTGTTTCTTTCCATAACCTGCTGGAAACAACAGAACAACCCTCACGTGCCCATCAGCACACCCCATTCCCTGCACACCCTCCTCAGGAACACCTGCTGGAGATGGGCTCCTGCATTTGACCTGCTGGGCCTGCCCCTCATCCCCTGGTCCACTGGGATCCACCCAGCAGGTCTGGGAAGGATGCAGCTGCCATGGTCCACATTCCATGGGAACCTGCCCACCCTGGGCAGCCTCACTGCTGTCACTTTGGGGTTTTCTCCCCCTTATCACCACGTATTTGGGATTCCTTTTATTGACCTTTGCTTTTTTTCTGCTTTTTCCACAGGTAACAGCAGCACCATGGATGTGGACAGTGTGGACACACTCAGGCAGCAGAGACCTGCACCTCCTTCCTCTCAGTTGCTGGCTTTCTCCCTGAGCAGATGGGCCTCAAACTGTCTCTCAACTTTTCTGACTGTAGATAGGGAAGGAAAAAGAAAAAAAAAAAGGCAAAAAAAAAAAAAAGCATAATTATACAAGGACATCTTTTATTTCAGTACATTCAAGACAAAAAGAAAAGAAAACAATTCAAGAACAGGATGTACCTTCACTCAAGGCTTTATCTCCCCTGCCCCTCTCCATTGTCATCTCTTTCCTTTTACAATCAGAAATTGCATAGAATTTGTTTTTCAATCAGAAAGTTAAATTCGTCAGTGTAAACCCCCACGTCTGTTCCAAGCAGAGGGTGAGCTGCTGCTGCTGTTTCTAGGGAAGTAAATATTTTCCTTACATGAGATCCCGGGCTAATGGTTTTCCCAAATGCTGTGTGGCTGCTGGACAAGGGCTGTGAGTCACCCTCGAAGCTGAGGGTGCTCTGTGGGTCACATGGGGAGCTCCTGAGCCTGGGGCAGAGCTCAGAGTCACCTCAGGAGCGTGCAGGGCACGGGCTGTGGACACTTTGGGGGTACCAACACCACCTCCCTCCACTGGTGGGGAAGGGCAGCCCCCCCCCCCTTCCAGTGCTCCCCATTCTCACCTGCTCCCACCTCACCTTCCTCAAAAGGCTCCCCCACCCTCATCCCAAAAACAAAAAGGAAGAAAAAAAGCAAAAGGTAACCCCAGAACGAAACAAAAGACACAGAACCCCTGAAATTCCAGGCGTTTCAAGGCCTCTTTGAGTTCACTGTGTTTGTTGGTTGAGATTTTTTTTTTTGGCATTTTAATATATATATATCTATGTATAGATATATTTATATATATATGTAATTTTAACAACTCCTCAGATGGACTTTCAGCAAATGCTGCTTCTCACGGGGAGCATGTCCCATCCCATCCCATCCCATCCCATCCCATCCCACCCTTCCCTTCCTCCTTCAGTCCACCTGCCAACACTCTGAAAAGGAAGAAGAGCTCAGCACCTGAAACCTGGTGCCTTGGAGACTAGGTCCTGACGTGCCCAAATTAAACCAAAACAAAACAATGACTCCTCCCCTTCCCCTCCCTTGTCCACGTCAAATAAAAACTCCCTCCCCCCGCCCTTTGAGAACACCCCCTGGTAAGTCTGTTTGGTGGAGAGACAGCGCCGGTGTCCCTTCTCCTGACCTGGGCGTGGAGAAGTTCCAAGAACCGCTCTTGCCTCCACCCTGGGTGGGCAATACCTGCTACACCAGTTACCACCACGTCCTTCCTCCTTCGGTGGCACGGAGACAACCACCGGAGACCAGCCTGAGGACCTCTCTCCTGCCACACCAGGCTTCAGCCAGCCCCGTGTCCCCCGGGACACCGAAACCCTCCGGCCAGGCCCAAAGGTCCGCCTTGCCCTGGGGAAGCCGGGTGACCGCTAGTGGTTTAAAAACGAGTTGACATTGTACAAGTCCGTGTTCTGTAAAATGGAACAGGACCCTCTCGCCCCCTCCCCTGCGCCCCCCGGTCCCCGGCGTTACTCGGGCTCGCTGCTGTTGGTGGTCTTGTCCCACTCCAGGCTCTCCTCGCTCCGCGCGGGCGATCCCGCGGCCGGCCGCGCCCGCAGCCCCTGGAAGCGGCGGCACTCGGGGCACACCCTGATGTGGGTGCACCCCCGGGCGACCAGGGCGGCTTCTTGTGCCAGTCTTTGTGCCAGGGGGTCTGGCTCCCCCCCGCTGCACAGCTTCCCGTTGCTGAGCGTGGTTGTGCTGCGGGCTCGGCGCTCCTCCGGGATAACGGGGCGAGTCCGTACCGGCCCCCCGCGCCGCCGGCGGGGCTGGAAACTGTCCTTGCACAGGATGATGTTGCGCAGCTCCGTCACCATCTCTTGGCACACCGACACCTGGGGGGGACACACAGGAGCCGTGCTGCTCACCCAAAGGAGCTGAGGGACACGCGGGGCTGGGTCTGCTTGGGGGGCTGGAGGGATGAGGGGGGAGGCCCTGGCACAGGTTGCCCAGGGAAGCTGTGGCTGCCCCATCCCTGGAAGTGTCCAAGGCCAGGTTGGATGGTGCCCTGAGCAAACTGGGATAGTGGAAGGTGTCCCTGCCTGTGGCAGGGGCTGGAATTGGATGATCTTTAAGGTCCCTTCCAGGCCAGGCCATTCTATGATTCTGTAACATGATTCTGATGCCAAATTTTACGGACTCGGTGCCACTGGGTTTCAACATCAATACCTGGACATTTACATTGATTTAACCCAACAGATTCTGCCTCTCATCAGAGACCCTCCTGTGTTCTGGATCCCCATACCAACACAACCCACTGCAGGTAGAAATCCCATCTCCAGGATGTTATACACATCCCTGAACCCTTCAGGAGCCCCTGGAGCATCCCTACAGCACCTCTCTTAGCAGGAGTGCACAAGAAGCTCATGGATTTTAGACCTTGCCCAAAGGACCAAACCTGCTCCTGTGTTTGGGATGTCAAGGCTGGGAATGCTCCTCAGCCTGGGTGAGGCTCCAGAGCACCCCACTGGGCATCCCACAGATAGCGATAAACATACACTGTCCCCTCAGGGCACTCTCAGGTCCTACCTCTGACTGCTCAGAGTGTCGAAGGCTCCACAGAAATTCCAGCATTGCCATAAAAATTGCTACGATCAAGCCACAGATGAGCACCACGAAGATTCCACCAATATTCTCCATCCCCAGGCCTAAAACAAAGCAGGAGGGACAATGTGGAGAGGCAGACTCGACATAAATTGTAAAAGTATCACTGCACAGAAATCCCAAGTTTTGCTGTTTTGTTGGCATTGCAGATACCCAGCCAGGGACCAAAACCACAGAGCCAGCACTGTCCTATTAATAGCTGCCCTCATGACTCAGATGGCAAAGTGAATGACTTGCAATAACTGCAGGATCGAAGATCCCTTCTCAGAAATGATGATTTTGCAGATAAACAGCAAGTACATTGAAGGGAAGCACAAAGCAATTTGTGGACAAACTGAAAACAAGAGGGAAGAATTGCGAGATCAATCGGGCACATTAATCCCTGCAAATTATTCACCCAGCTCCGCTTGCTTTGAACTCCTCAAAGGGAGATGAGCAAGGTTGTTAAAGAAGCAGAGATGAAGAAGACAGGAAAGGGCTTTAAAGGAAGCTGGCACTGAGAAAAGCTCCTTTGATTGCATTACAAAGTGCTGGGGGGAAATGATGGCAGCTGCCTGCACTGCAGTAGCAAGGAGAGGGTCCAAAGCAGAGCAGAACCCAACACTTTCACACTGTAGGGTGAGAGAATGGGGTCTCTGCCACCAAGGGGTGGGTTATGGGTTGGGTGCTCTCTAGGAGGAAACATCCCCTTCCGTGGGACTCACCTCCCTTGGACAACTGGCTTACAGTGGGATAACTACCACAGCTACACAGTTTGCAAGCCAGAAAGTTCACCAGCTGGAAGGAAAACCCACCCCTCAAGAACCTGGACTGAGCTTTGGTCAACTCTTGGCCCCAAAACTGCAGCCTGTGCCTCCCTCTGGCCCTGCAGAGCTGGACTGTGAGATGAGCTGGGGAGCAATGCTGGCCTCAGCTTCTGCTGTCCAGGATCTGGCTCTTCTCTCTCCTGTTCTTGTTGGGTTTGGGCCCCTGATTGGACTGATTACTAAAAAGCATGTGGTGCTTTGCACTGGGTTGACTGAGGCCATTAGTCAACTAGAACATCTATAAAAATCTTCCTCTCCTTTCTGTAGCATTAAATCAAAGTGTAGGAATCAATGATTTATTGACTTAATCTCAGCGTGGCTTTTAGACATAAAATCTCACCAAAATCCTTGTAAATCGCTGACCTGCTTTGTTCTAAAACTTGGGAGGTCACACTGCTCCCTCCTCCTCCTTCATTCTTTTGGCATCACCTCCAGAGCAGTCCAGTGCCTCTGTAAATCAGCCCTTTGCAGAGATGCTTCCACAGCAATTGCAAGGCAGAAAACACAGCCCACAGTCACAGTTTAGACCCAAGATAAAGGCCATCCTCTCCTCCCAGCAGCTCTCAAATTTGAATTTAGGGCCAGCAACTCTCTCTACATGCTTCTCTCATTCTGCCTGAGTGCTACCTCAGGCACCCATTCCCGAGCTCACAGAGAGGTAATTCCTTCTGCCATTTCCCAAACTCACATCACAGAGAGAACAAACCAGGAGAAAAACTTGTCCAGGGTCACAGAACACACCAAGCAGTGCCAGAAACAGCCCAGCTGCCCCCTTCCAAAGCCATCCCAAAGCAGCCCACAGCCTAGATTCCACTTCAGAGCTGCTTTTTGCACAGTCCACAGAGGAAAAGTCTCCCATGTGCCTGCTTGCCTTCAAAGTAACTTCTTTAATAGCTATAACCTGATGTCTTACACTGGGCCAACACCTTCAGCCTTAAATTAATAGCTGGGACTGCCTGTAGTGCAGCACAGCCCAAAAATTAGTATCAACTCACAGCCCCGTGGGGTCCCATCCATGAACTGCACAGACACACCTACTGCTGCTGCAAGGTAATAAAACCAAAATAGCTACCACAGACCCAGTTTAGCTCTCTGTCTGTGCCCTCAGAAGGGTCAGAAGATCACCCTTATAACTGGGGAACCTGCTGGCCTCCCAGAAAACACTTGCTGAGAAGAGGGCGACTGCCAGGACTAAAAAATGCAGCAACTGTGTTAAGCTGGCAACTGCTCTCACGCTGGGACATCAGCCTAATGTGGTAGCTTTTATGGCAATTTGCATAGCATTACCCAAAAGAATTTGCTCCTCAGTTTACAGATGTACTTATAAAGTCCTTGTGTCCCTTGCCCTGGCTGTTTAAAAGATGCTTTCACTCGGAGCCATTAACCAGCAGGCCTGTGGTGGAGATCCATCTCCCTTCAAGGAACCCAGGATTTTGGTCTGATCCCTCCAGCCATCCATTTTCCCAGGCATTCATTAGGAGCTAATTTACCCTCCATATGCCTCCAATATTTGTCATTTGGTTGCTCCCGCTCTCTCTGCCCCAGGCAAAAACACACAGCGTGAGGCTCGGTGGCGGAGCTGTTTGGCTTTCTCCTTGAGTTGTGAGGGAAGGAATCTCGGGTCAGGAGAAGGGGGAAAAAGCGATTCTCAGGCAGAAACGCTCGTGTGGAGTGGTGCAGCTCACCTTTGGCTCTGTGGTCCTCCTCTTTGGGGCACTTCCCTCCTTCCCACCACTTGCGCTTGAGGATTTCCAGGCGGTTGTTCTCCTGCAGCTGGAGGATGGCCAGGTCGAACTCGTCTCGGAACACAGAGCCTGCAACACCAAGAGGGACGTGGTAGGGCACCCCCTGGGCCAGCCTTCCTCCCCACTCTTCCTCCCCACTCGTGTGTCCAGCTACAACAGCTCGTCTCTGAGGGGTTTGGAGGGGACATCGCTCCATGTAAGCCATGGAAACCCCTTGCAGAAGGTGTTTTTCCTGCCCACACAGCTGAGACCAGCTAAGGAGGTCCAACACCAGTGGAGCTTTGGCTGCAGGGATTGAATGGGCAGTTCAACATCACACAGTTCAACATCACACCTCCAGACCACGGAGGTCCCTCTGTTGTCATTCCACCTACAACTTGGACCTTGCTCTAGCACTCCCTGCCTCAAGCTGGTCACAGAATAGAATACTCTGAGTTGGAAAGGACCCCAAGGATCAACCAAGCCCAAATGTTCATGGTAGAGCTGCTCACTTCTGTGCTTGGTGCCAAGCTCTAGTGCACCCTGGTGTCTGCTACCAGGGATCCTGAGGAAGGGCCGTGGGAAAGACCCCAGTTCTCCCAGTAACTCTGCACTATTGTCCCAGTGAGCAGCTTTCTGCTCTTCTTATCTGCTACGCTTTCACTGTCTAACAAGACAATGTCAGAACAGATTTAGCCCTGAGAGTGCAGGTTTGTGCTCACAGTCAGGTGACTTTACAAGTTTACCCACGTTACCTAAACTGGAGAGACCGTTTGTGTGATGGGCCTTATGTAATTCACCTTAACTTTGTGTTGCTAAGTGCCAGTGCTTAAATGTCAGGACTGGAGGAAAGATCAGGAATAACAACTACTACATCCTTTTTCCGTGCTGCCCTAGGAGATGATGTTCTCCTGCTGGTTCTCACATGGTGAAACACAAACCCCCTGCATTTGTTAAACCTGATTATTACCTGAGATAGCCACTGAATTGCCCAATTCTCTGTCCTGGAGTTTTAAGAACCACCAGCTGTTAAGAAACTCGTGCTAAAAACTACTCCAGTTACAGCAGCAGTACTTTCACAGCACTTCTGGGATTAAAACAGGGAGCACAAAACGAGGCACAAACACTGGTTCGGGAAGGAGACAATCAGCAGAGAGCATAATATGCAGAAAATAAGCAGCAATTTTGAGACATCTTTCACACGAAATCACATCTCGAGAGCCGCAGTCGCGTGTCACGTGCCTCTGGCCCAGAGCAGGGGCTGAGAGGGGAACCTTGGGCAGCTCAGACCCCTCAAAAAACACCCCCGGGCAGAGCCGTGAGACGCGACGGCGGCTCCAGAGCCGGTTCAGCCTTTCAAACGCTCCGGTCCTCTGCCGACAGCTGAGAAGGACTAGAATTTGTCTTCACTGCCTACCGACGGGCATGCCAATCCCGTAGCCCTTGGTGTCCAGAAGGCCCCCGACCTGCGTGAGGTTGCAATTGCGCTGACGGTAATACTCGTTCATGGTGGACTCCAGCAGGAAGGCGTAGTTGGAGTTCAGCACGCGCGCGATCCCCTCCTCCGTGCTCTTCACGAAGACGCTGGGCTGCTTGGAGTACATGTAGTTCCACATCCTCTGGTAGGTCTGGTAGCGGGAGTTCTGCAGGAGGAAGGAGCCAGCGACAGCTGAGGGAGGAGGAGGAGCGTTAATTGCCCTAAACTAAACCCCAAATTAGACGCCCGCTATGAAAAGGGGAGAGGAGTCAAAGCAGATCCGGTGCCAGGTTCAGAAAGGGTTTAGATGCCTAACCTGCATTTATATCAATGAGGTTTAGAGGCCCAAACATCTTGGTGGGTTTGAGACTCTAACCTTCAAGTATCTTGGTGGATTTGAGACTCTAACCTTAAATATCTTGGTGGACTTGAGACTCTAACCTGCATTTATATCAGTAAGGTTTAGAGGCCCAGATATCTTGGTGGTTTTGAGACTAACATTCATTTATATCAACGAGGTTTAGAGGCCCAAATACCTTGTTGGGTTGGAGACTCTAACCTTAAATATCTTGGTGGATTTCAGACTCTAACCTTCACTTATATCAATGAGGTGTAGAGGCCCAAACATCTTGGTGGATTTGAAACCCTAACCTTCAAGTATCTTGGTGGGTTTGAGACTCTAACATTCATTTATATCAGTGAGGTTTAGAGACTCAAATATCTTGGTGGAGGCCCAAATATCTTGGTGTGTTTGAGACTCTAACCTTCATTTATATCAATCAGGTTTAGAGGCTCAAACATCTTGGTGGATTTGAGATTTTAACCTTCAAATACCTTGGTGGGTTTGAGACTCTAACCTGCACTTGTATCAATAAGGTTTAGAGGCCCAAACACCTTGGTGGGTTTGAGACTTTGTTGGCAAAGCTGGGCATGAAAGGCATGCCTATAACTCCAGTAGGGACAAAGCTTTTTGCGTAAATTCAGTTTTAGAATAATTCATAGTTTCTGTAACAGACCAAAAAAAAAAAAGACAGAAGAAATAGATTGTGCTTGTCTGATTTAAACCTCTGAAGAAGTCACACCCCACTGACTATCACTGGAACCTTGTCCTAACAGTCCTCCAGTGTCAGAGCCAGACACCAGCACCTCAAGGAGGGCACTCAGAGCAGAACTAAAGCTCTTTGGAGCCCCCTGAATCCAGATTTTGGTCCACAGCCTTGTGAGACAAATCAAAGCATCTGCTGAAGAGAACTGGAGTCTTTTCAATGATTACAATAAACTAAAGCTCCACCAGCCCCTCAGACTCTGGTTTGATCCAGAGGAAGCCGACTGTGGTTAATCTCTCTTGCCTGTACTGAGCAAAGAGTGAAACCTGCTTGCACAAAGACTGAATATAAACATGCTCTGGTCTCCATTAGGAATTTCACACTGTCAAGGGCTCATTTTCTGTGGCTGGTAAGTGATGCTGGAGAGCTTTAGGGAATCTGCTGCTGACCTAGTTCCTGTCCTCATCTGTCCAGCTCCGTCCTCTGGGTGCAGTCACTCGGGCAAGAGACAGACAAGCAGGGGGGGTGTTTCTTCCCAGTTCACTGCACTCTCAAATGCTAAACCTGTGTGTTTTTGTCAGGGGAAATGCTGCCAGGACAGGTTACAAGGCAAGGTGCTTCAGCAGTGGACACACATTTCACGCAGCAGGGAAGGGAGGGGTGATGGAGGCAGGCCGTGGAATCCATCGCTGCTTTGACCCACCGTCCTTCCACCGGGGGAAAACGGATCCAAACACAGCCTAAAGCACTGCAAATGGTACAAAAACATCTCTTCCTGATTTCCTCTCTGATCCCAGGGACTCCAGCACCCGCCAGGCAGCGCAGAGCCACAGCCAGGGCTTTAAACTTGAAAGCCTTCCTTAAGCGAGCGCCTCGTATACAACCACCTTGGGTCACTCGGGCTCTGTTCAGCTCATTTCACATGCAAGGCTTGGCTTAAAAGTAGCTTCTTGCCAAACCCCTGAAGAGTGTAAAGTTGGGCTGAAAAGCTCAGGCCCACTCCAGAGATTTCTCAGCCTTCCAAATTCAGTTCAGACTCAGAGGGGGGTGGGAAAAAAAAGTGAGAAAAGCTTTCTCTCCTTTTGGAATTTCAACAAGTAATAAATAAATAATCCTCCAGCAGTTCTTTGTGCATTCAGAGCGCTGCAGAAAAGATTCACTCATTTATTTCCCTTCTGAATAGAGCAGGGAAGATAAAAATTAAATTGGGCTAAATGGCCCACATAACTTTGAATACATTTGATTTATTTATCTTCAGTGCCACTGACCACACATGGATTCCAGCACTGTGACAACTGTGAGCCTGCCTGGGCTTGGCAAAGGTTTCATTGCTGAAAAACTCTCAGGTAAAAGCTAAGATCACATCAAAACCACAGGGAGACACATGAAAATTTGACTTCCTTGTCAAATTTCCTTCCCTCTCCCACCATTCTCCCCATCTCCTCACACTGTGGGTCTAGCCCACTCCTGTGCAACCAAGCAGGCAGGGATCTCTCCAGAAATCCCCTCCGTGCCAGAAACTGGAATGAAACGGGCACGAGAGGCTGGAGTGGCACCCAAATGTGACTGAAGGGTGCCCTCTGCACTCCCTACCCCCTTCAGCCAAAGAATGGGGTTTACTTGGAAGAAGGTCATGCTGGAGCCGCCGTGGATGGTGCCGTACTCGATGGTGGTCTGGTCAGCCAGGTCATCCACGGACTCGATGGGGACGTCCATGCGCTGCACCGTGAGGAAGGCAGCCAGGTTGGCCGTGTAGGAGGAGATGATGATCAAGGTGAACGCCCACCTAGGGAGAGGGGAAGAGAAGATGACGACCTGAGGTTCCCCTGTGGACTGAATCTGCTCTCCACCTCTCAAAACCACAGGACCACTGAGGTTGGAAAAGCCTCCCAGACCGTCGAGCCCGACCTTCGTCCGACCACCGCCTCGTCACCCAGACCAGAGCACTGAGCCCGTTCCTTGAACACCTCCAGGGAAGGGGACTCCACCACCTCCCTTGGCAGCCCCTTCCAGCGTTTAACAACCTTTTCCATGCAGAAAAATTCCTCCTCCATCCCCTTCTGCCCCGAGAAGCCTCCCTGGAGGGGAGGGTGCCCTCCTTACCAGACTCCACTGACGCAGCGCGTGGACAGTGCCTGGGGGGCGATGGTGGAGCCCTGCTGCATGAACCCCCCCACTGGGAACCACAGGCTGTTGCCCAGAGAGTACTGGTTCACCAGGAGATTGCAGCGGCCTTGGGAGCAGGGGTGGGGGCTGTACCACTCGTACGGTGTCAACCTAAAAGGACAGGAAACAGGTAACTCAGGTTAATTTGCCGGGAAGTGGGACACTTTGGAGAGAAGAAGCCAAAGGAAAAAAAAAAAAAAAGAAAAGCTGTGAAGCTCTAGCTCTCCTGGAGGCAGAGTTTTCTGAGCAGGAAGCACTTCACCGTCAAGTTGATGCCCAGGGCTCAGAGCTGTGTGAAATGTTTGCTCTAAGACTCAAGAAGCCAGAGGCTTCCTCGTAGAGATTTGCAAAAAACTTCAGCAGAGAGGCTCTGCTGAGCTGAAAATCTGGGCATGGGCCACGGGGAGGCTGCAAGGAGGCAGATTTTTGCAGCCCTGTGAGCAAATTCACACACCACAGCAATAATTCCACACGTGCACGGACTTGATGGGAAATTGAAATCAAACCTCCTTGGCTGGGCTCCCTGCTGGAGCACGAGCACTGACGGGAAGTTCAAAAGCGAAGCGTGTGAGACCTGACTGCATTACACCACCAAGAAAAATAACTGCCCTGGTGCAAATGGCTGCTCTGAGAAGGTCTGACTGGCCTGGCAAGGTCCAGCTGGAAGCCAAGTGCATTTCAAAGCATCACATACTTCAGAGACAGGACAGAGGCGGGACTGTGAGATAGCTGACAGCCTGTCACTGAAGTGACTGCAGCCTAACTCTATTTTTTTTATTTTTTTGCTGTTTCCAAGCCTCAGCTCCCTGGTTGCTAAGAAAGTCTTCTAATTTCTCTGCTGCAGTTCATTATATTACCATGGTTAACAAAGCTGAGGCCTGGGAGGGTCATTTTGGGGCTACTGCCAAAAAAGCTGCAGGGCTCTGCCAGCTCACACAGCATTTAACCAAGATGAGGGGTTTATTTTTGCTCCTGCATCTCCTGCCTCGCTGTGATGCCAGGGAGGTTATTTCCTGCAGACTTTCCATGGTGGATCAAGCACTGGCAGTGAAACCCTCTACTCTGAGAGAGTCCCTGCAATTCACAGGGTCAAAAGCTCCTTACAGCTGAGCAAGGCACAGAGCAGCAGCCAGACCTCCATCTCCAGTGGAAAGCTGGGTAAAGGCCCCTTTTTGGAGGATCATGTTTAAAACATGAGGAAGGGGCTAAAGAGGCACCAGCTCTCGGTCTGCAGAGAGCATCAGGCTGCATTATTCAATGGTTTCCTCAGAACTGAGGCTGTAAAAGCATTCCAAGAACCCATTAAAGCCCCTGTCAGGATGACAACTTTAGCCGTGCTCAGGGACCAAGTGACAGCACAGTTCCAATTTGTGGAATGAGAATTGGGTATTAAGAGTGTCCCAGAAGGGCCCTCAAGCCCCGAGCACGTCTGTGGAACACACTGCCAGGGCTCAGCTCAACCCTGCCTGCAAAAGCCCATCCATGCCACCAACAATAAGCAGCTTGTTGGGAGGTCAGGGCAAAACAGCAGCAGAGCTCAGACCTTGGGCCTCGATGGGAGACACTGCAGGCAAGCACTCAGGGATGTATTTTAACACTGACTTAAATTAGTCATAGGGGAATGGAACTGAGAGCTGCCAAGGGAGGCTCTGCACGTCAACCAAGAGGCTGCTGAAAGATATTAATGAACTTTCTTTTCCTCCACACATGCTGGGGTTTGTACAGGGCCAGAGGAGCCAAACATCCCTCGTGGAATTTGTGTTAAAATCTCCGAACGGATTTGTGGGTTCCCGCCAACCTCCACCCCCCCTGCTCAGGACAAGGGGTAAAAGGCACCTACAGGAAGCATTTGCAGGGCACCAACACTACTGCCAGACCTTCTCCCACCCTTCCCACGCGGATTTGGGAATCAGGGCACGATGCTCCTGCCAGGCACACCAATGCCCATCCCAGGCACCAGGGCGTGGGGACTCGGTGGCACCGAGTGGCACTCGGTGGCACCGCTCATTCCCCAGCTGGCAGAGGGCTGGGATTCTTCTGTCCCATCCCATAGGGGTGTCTGGGGCCCGTGGATGTCCCCGTGTCCCCCCGGGTGTGGCAGTGTGACGCTAGATGGCACCGCGAGGAAGGGAAAGGCACCGCGACATTACCGAGCCACCAGGAAGAGGACGCAGCTCACGGCCAGGTAGGCGAGCAGCATGAAGAGCCACACTCCGGGAGAAAAGGGGTCCAGGAAGGAAAAGTAGCCGGGTTTGCGGCCCTGGAATGGAAACACAGAGGGCGTTTGGCCTGATTGTGGTTCTACAGAGGGAATGGTCCCTTCGGAAAAGGCGGAAGGAAACGGAGCGGCACTGATGCTGAGAGGGGGTGGGACAAGGGGGGTGAAGGGGAGGAGGGGGAGAAAGGGGAGAAGGAGGATAAATGGGAGAGGAGGGATAAATGGAGAAAAGGGGATAAATGGGAGAAAAGGGATAAATAGGAGAAAAGGGATAAATGGGAGAAGAAGGATAAATGGGAAAAAGGGAATAAATGGGAGAAAAGGGATAAATGGGAGAAGGGGGATAAATGGGAAAAGGGGGATAAATGGGAGAAGGGGGATAAATGGGAGAAGGGGGATAAATGGGAGAAGGGGGATAAATGGGAGAAGGGGGATAAATGGGAGAAGGGGGATAAATGGGAGAAAGGGGATAAATGGGAGAAAAGGGATAAATGGGAGAAGGGGGATAAATGGGAGAAAAGGGATAAAGGGGGAAAAGCGGATAAATGGGAGAAGGGGGATAAATGGGAGATGGGGGATAAATGGGAGAAGGGGGATAAATGGGAGAAGGGGGATAAATGGGAGAAGGGGGATAAATGGGAGAAGGGGGATAAATGGGAGAAGGGGGATAAATGGGAGAAGGGGGATAAATGGGAGAAGGGGGATAAACAGGGCTTTGGAAAAGCCTTCCAGGGGAAGCAGGTGACAGCAACACAAGAAATGACAACAGGCTCCCCAGGGCACGGCCCCAAGGCTGACAGAGCTCATGAAGCAGCTGGACAATGCTCTCAGGGACAGGGTGTGATTTTGGGGATGGTCCTGTGCAGGATCAGGAGTTGGACTCAATGATCCTTGTGGGTCCCTTCCAACTCAGTGTATTCTGTGATGCTGTGACCGAGTCCTGCAGCACCTCCCCACTGGGATTCATCTCCTAAGTCTGTTCTTCTCCCCACTCACCCACTTTTGTTCCTCCAGGCAAAGAAAGAGGTGAATTGAGAGAAAAACTGAACAATCACAGTGTCCTGCCCTCCCCATGGTAGGATAAGCTGCACCCCTCATCTCTGAGGGGTGGTCCCTCCATCCTTGTCCACCCCACCCCACTCTCACTGGGCAGGAGGGGCTCCCCTGAGCTCAGAGGTGGGTGAGAAATATTTTTGCACAGAAAAAATTAAAAAAAAAAAGATATGTTTTCGATACTTCTGCTTTTCTTTCTTCAGCCTTTAAATGTTATTTCTTTGTAAAAAAAAATAAATAAAATTATTACTTTTATCTCAGGGAACAGGGTATTTTTATCTCCAGGATGCGTCAGAACTTCCTGTTGTTTTTCTTTTTTCTCAGCAAACCACCTTTCCTTGAAGAATAAGGCCTCACTGCTAGAAAAAACAGATCTGATCTTCTCTCAAGGTGTTTTAAAATTTCACAAGGACGCTGCCACCACTGAAATCTTGTCAAATGGCAGCACAATTTGTTCAAAGGGAGGATTAATTTCCAGGAGGAGTTCCTCAAGAGCTGAACACCTCCCATTCTGGTGAGTGTATTTGAGCCTGTATCTCCTGCCCCAAACCACAAAGTCAGTCCTGGCATCACTAAACCAGCTCCACAGTTCCCCCAAGCACCTGTAACAGGGAGGCTTCCCACGAGTCAGAGCTCTGGGAAGGCTTTTACTGTAAAGTCAGAGTGGAAACAGCCTTTTATCACATCCTGGCCAGGCTGTCAGTGTGTTTCTTACTGGCACTTCTTTGCTGTGTGCTGAAAATGCCTCTCTCTGTTTGCTCAGTGCAGCTCCAGCAGCTGCTTCCCAGCACTGCCCTGCTGTAGGTTGCTCACTCTGCACAAAAAGATCATCTTTGACACACAGAGGCCTCATTTCTTCCCTGATCCACTGCCCTACCTGCCCATCTGTGGCATCACATAAACTAATCATAGCTGGTAATAATTAACACCCGACCTCCACTGCTGTAGCAAACCCAGAGTCCTGGTATTTTAGAGCTGTTCTTAATCCAAAGGTGGTGAATAATTTTTTTCTCCTTCCCCAGTCTCAGACCAGCGCTTTTAATTCTATTTCCATCCAAACTCCCTGTTTCACTACTGAAGTATTCCTGTTCCTTATGCAAAAACCCAGATTTCACAAGGTCTTGGTAGTTCTTCTGGAGGCTCTCGAGTTGTTCCTAGAAAAGGCAACAGTGGTTGCACAAAAATCTTCCTCTCCTAAAAATATCCAAGGAGACTTGTGAGATCCTCTGCTCCAGTCACCAGCTGGGACTGCAACATCTCAGAAACCTCCTGCAGCAAACTCTGCCCTGTGTGAAGCAAAGACCCACCACAGCACAACCTCCTGCCCCTGGATCCTTAAGGACAGGATGAGTTTGAGCTGGGGATCCACAGCCTCCCTGCCCATAGTGGGAGGGCAGGAACTAAATGGTCTTTAAGGTCCCTTCCAACCCAAACCACTCTGGCACGAGCATTTTTAGAGATTCTGGCTTACTAAGGCTTTTAACAGAGAGATGAGTTAAGCATCAGTGGTTCAGACCATCCAGCATCCATTCTCAGATTAATTCTCAGTCAATTCCCAAGCAAAGCTCCAGGGTATAATTCCAGAGTCTCTCTTGAAGACAAGGTCTCTCTTCTGAATTTGGTTATTTTAGTGTGCTTGCTATAAACAGGCGAGGTACAAACAGTCAAAGATAATATTTTCTTTTGTCCTTTCCCTATTTTTTGGTCAGTTGCTGCTGCTTTTCCAGCATCTGTACCCGAGCCAAGGGCTTTTGGAGCCAGAGATACTGCTGGAAACTACACCTTCAGAATCCCTGAGGGACTCCCAAGTCCAGAACATCCTTTGCTCCTCTCAGTTCAGAGAGGTGAGACCATCTCACAACTCTGCAGGTTCCAAGGTGTGTTCCCTCTGCATTTCTCACTGATCCCATCCAGAGGCTCAGGGATTTCTCCATGCCAACACGAAACCAAAGCTCTTCTCTTCACTGCTCTCCTGGATGCCGCTGGTTCCCTTCTTCACCTGGAGCTAAACTGGCTCAGGTACCTCTTTATTTCCACAGGTTTTTACACACTCAGGAATGAAATGAAGCAATAGGAGCCTGGAGTTGTGAAGGGCACCAGCTGCCCTCGCTGAGCAAACTGCAGAATATCATTCCAGGCAGCTTAATCCTCCCTGGCATCCCAGAACTGGCAGAAAACTCACAGGCACTGGCAGTGCCTTGGCTGAGGCTCCCTCGTGAGATGCTCCTGTAACAAAGTTCCTTTTCTGCAATTAAGGCCTTGATGTCTTCTTTATATTTCTGGGGCAGTTTGTCAATAAATTACTCTCATTAAGGAAATTGCGTTGGAAGCTTTAAATCTCCAGCTTGGCAGTGAATCTCTCCTGTGACTTTACAGTAGTAGTACTTCTGGTTCTTTTCAGCTACAGTCATTTTCAGGCTGCTGCTACATATTCCTTTCATTCACAGTTGTGGATAAGAATAAAGATATTCTGTTCCCACGGAGGGCACAAACTCTCTTCTCTCTTATCTGTCTGTTTTGAAGATGGGAATGACAATATCTGGAGCCTGTCAGATATTTTTAGCCGGTCCCAATACAGCTCAGTTAATTGGAAGAGCTATTTTTCCTGGAATAGACATGTTCAAAATGTCCAATAATTGATGAAGGCCTCCTCCAAATCCTCAGATGGAAGTGGGAGAGGTTCATTTACCCTCCTGAGTTGTTCTTGGAAGTCTTTGCTTTCAGCCAGTGAGAACCAGTTTTCTGGGAACACACTGGTGACCAGAGAGCCTGGATGAGCAGGACACTGGGGAAGAGGAGGAGGAACAGGGCTGTTTGGTCCTGGATTTGTCTGTGGTCAGGTCTGTAAGAGACCTGATGGCTCCCTGCCCTGCACACACAGGGTCTGAAGGGACCCAAGTGCCCCGTTCCCTCTTGCAGAAACGGTCAGTCCTACCCATGTCATTTCTCATAGATGTTTATCCCTAAAAAAGGCAGGCAAGAGAACTCCCTGCTGCCTCTGGAAGTCAGAAGGAAAGCAAAAAAACAGCCTGAAAAGGCAGAAAGGTTGCTCTGTGCTCAGTCCAACTGCAGTGCGTTTGGTCTCCCCAAACCAGAGCGTGGGTATTTTAGGGTGACCACGTCTGATCCAGATGCAGATCCAGATGCAGATCCTTCTCCAAGGTCCTTTGTCTGGAGTCAATAAGAAGAAGCCAAACACAGGCTGCTGGGACCAGCAGTTGCTCCCAATCCCTGCTCCAGGGATGCAGGATGCTCAGCAGGAGGGGTGCTCAGCTCCCCTCAGCCCCTCTGCCTCGGCTGTCAAGGATTTTTCATTCCATCCTTCCCATTTTGTGTCTTTTGCAGCGATCAAGTAGAAACTTTAAGGCTCAGTTCCCTTGGCCCAAACTCAGCTATTCCAGTGTCCTCACCAAATCTGCATTTCCTCTTTGAGGGGGTGCTCAGTGAGGACTCTCAGGGCTGACAAGCCAGAATTGTGTCTAATCCCTCCTTCCCTGCTCCAGGGGCAGGTGTGTGAGCAAAGCATGCTACAAATAAACCTGACTTAGCCCCCCGTGCAGAAATGGCACTGGGCACCTGATTTCAGCCCTCTGCCAAGCCCAGTGGGCTCCTCATCCACCCCCTGCCACCCACAGGTCCCACTGGCCGGGAGTGGGAACCTCATGAAACAAAACAAGCCTTTTCTCTGAGCAGCCTGAGAGCCTGTTAGAGCTCCTGTGTCAGAAATCCATACTTGATTATATCACAACAAGTGAAATTGAGAAAAATGACAGCCCTGTTCAGAGCTGCCATATTTGGTTATGTGTGACAAGAGGCACAGGCACTGTGGTGGTTGAGGTTGGCGGCGTGGGGAGGAGAAAGGGGCGAGAAATCAACTTGCCACTGGAGTTGCACGGGAATTAAAATAAAATGTCATCGCATTGGGAGGAGACCAGGGCGTGGAGACAACTCCTCAGCAAGGGAGAAACTCATTTGTGGTTATTTATTAGGCTACATCTGATCTGAGCCGTGATTAACACACGTCAGCTGCAGTTTTTGACACTGCAGAGGTGGGTTTTGGGATGGGGATGGGGAAGGGGGGGGATGGAAGCAGATGGGGCTGCTCTGCAAACCACATCCTTAAAGGAAAACCAGAGCAATTAACTGTCTTGTTAGACAAATATTTACCAGTTTGATGAGTTAATTGCCACACAGCTCTCAGACACTCTCCTCAAGCTGAGCAGGGAAGGGCTGGACAAAGAGGTGCCAAGTGCTGGAGAGGGAAGGGGGGGCTCTGAGCTTCCCTGATGGGGATCTCCCTGCTCCTGGCTGCCCCTGCCATCACTCATGGCCTCAGTGCAGCAAAGTGGGGCTCCCTTTGGGGTGACCTGCCCTAGGAGATGTGTTTGCAAGCCTGCCAGGGTCACTGGGCAGTTCCCCTTCCCAAATCCTAACTGGGCCCTTTATCAGGCAGCTGAAGAGTCCTGACCAACAGCAGGGCATTATTTTCCAAACACTTCTGAGGTCTGTAATTATTAATCCTGCTCAGTTTGGTGAAGTCCTGCAGGCTGGAGCAGGGCTGTGCTGTGTTACTCTGGTACCAGCATGAGCAGCAGATGCTCCCTGCCCCGAGGAACTTCCACCCTAAATAGATGTGTCAGACACGTTCCTGTGGAGCTCCCCCAGGCAGCAGCAAATGCCTCACACATACAGAGCAGAGCCTGTGCAAACCCTGCACCAACAGTCCTGTGCTTCCTCTGGAGGGGGGAAAGATGCTCAGGGAATGATGCTTTAACAGACTTGCTGAAGATTATGGTGTGAATCCAAGGCAGGACATGCACAGAGTCACAGAATCCCACAATGGTTTGGGTTGGAGGGACCTTAAAGCTCATCCAGTTCCATGGGCAGGGACACCTCCCACTAGCCCAGGTTGCTCCAACCTGGCCTTGGACACTTCCAGGGATGGGGCAGCCACAGCTTCTCTGGGCAACCTGTGCCAGGGCCTCCCCACCCTCACAGGGAAGGATTTCCTTCCTAAAATAGCACAGAACTCAATCCCCAAACTCGATAATAATCCCAGAGGCACTGGCAGAAACACCTCCCAGATCCACAGGGAAGCTGGTGGTGTGACCAAGCAACTGCAGTGAGGAGGGGACAATGACATCTGATTTCCAGGAGCTTGAAGAGTCAGTCCCTTTTTTTATTTTTTTGTTTGATCAGTTAAGTCATCGATCCTAAATTCTGCACGTACCAGAGGAAACAGAATTTTAACTAGATTTTAATTACTTGTTTGCTCTTGGCAGGAGCCACTCAGCACAAGAGAGAGATGCATGAATTTGCTTCTGTTCCTCCCCAACTGCATCCCGGGTGGAGAGGGGGCTGGGAGAGGCAGCTTGAGTGGTTTTATCCTTTTGGCTGCTATTGTTGAGCTGACAGAGACCAAGCCACTGTCATCTGCATCCCACTCGACACTGTGCAAAGCACAAACATTTCCAAAATGCAGATTGGGAATAACAAGACATCCTGTTGCACAGGGCCTGGCTGTCAGAGCCTGGGACACTGGGGAAACTGGGGGCTCCCATATGGGAGTAGCAGGGGAAAATCTGTCCTCTCCTGAGCTTCAGGGAGAAGATAAAGCAGTGGAGGATGCAAATAAGAGGGAATCTATGGGAATTTAAGACAAAAAGTGTTGTCTGAGCAAAGCCATGACACAACATGCTCACACACATAAACCCCCTGGGCACATTCCCACCTGTTTTGCTCCAAAGCTGCTAAACGTGATGCCTGACCTACTTTTTGGGACAGTGGAAAACCACACCACTGCTGCTGCTGCTGGAGCTGCTGAACATCACTGAATGCAGTGGAGAGGCAACCAGAGAGAGATGCCGAAAAAACTGCTTTTGTTCCAGAGAAAATGTTTGCCCCACCCCTGGAAGTGTCCAAGGGCAGGCTGGATGGGGCTTGGAGCAACCTGGGCTAGTAGAAGGTGTCCCTGCTCGTGGCAGGGCATGGAACTGGGTGGTTTTTAAGGTCCTTCCAACCCAAACCAGTTTGTGATTCCATGATTTTAAAACTCCAGTGCAGCGTTAAGGGCGCTCAGCACACCTCACCCAGCAGGCTCAAAGCCAAAATAAAGCCACCCTGTGACCCCAAAAAAAGCATCTTGTGCCCAGGGAGGATGGGGAAGAGGAGCCAAAGAGCAGGGGTTTTGAGCAGGAATCGAATCCACCAAGCTGACACACAGAGAAGGAAATGAAGGTCGAGCCAATTTCCGTTTAAATATGAAACCCAAATATTTTTATGAGTCGTTCATTTTCCTTCTACAACCAGGCACGTTTGCATGCAAATAATGGAGGGACATAAATGGTTATAAAGTAAGTCTCTTACCATATGAACTCTGTAGAGAATGCTAATTCCCAGAGTCATGAAGGGCTTGGAGAAATCAATCACCTTCTCCCGCTCGGCCGTGATCGTCAGCCCCGCCACAGCCAAGTCAGCCTTCTGGAGAGAGAGAACAGAGAAGGTCAGGGCCCTGAGCCTGAGAAAGCAGCAAAGCCACAGCTGGGGCCACACACAGGACATCTGCCCCTGGAGGGGGGATGTCCCACCTTTCTGGGCCATCCCAAAATGAGGATGTTTTGCTGGTGCTGGTTCAGGCTGGGCTCGCACACCCCTCTCCCTGGGTGGCTCTCACACGAGCCCTGCTCAAACACACTCCAGAGTTTCATGGATGCTACAGACCATTCTCCCCCTTTTCCCTTTCCTCACCTGGATGTTTTTCTCTCTGCACTCACAGGCTCCCCGTGGGGACCCCACTGTGCTGACAGCAAACACAACAGCAGCCCCTGCTCTCGGCCTCACTGCCATTTCTATTCATTTAATGCTGTAAAACCTGGCAAAACAGGGGCCATCAGAACAATAAATGTCGTGTTTATCTACAGAAGATACAACCTCCCCCTTCCTTGCCCCTGCTGAGCACAGCTGGCCCTTCCTTGCCCCTTGCAAGTGGCACAGGTAAGAAAGAAAAGCAGAATTGTTACCCACATCCCCTGAGTCATGAAGTTCACAAACGTGCCAACCCCAGATTTCCCAAATGGCAGATCAGCCTCCAAAAAAAATTCAGAGGACTGGCATTAAAGTTTGCAGATTGACTTGCAAAGCAAATGAGATTAGGGGGAAGGAAAAAAATAAAAATAATTCCTTCCCGTGTTAATACCCTTGTAATATAGATAAGGGATTTGAATTTTAAATATTATTTTTATTACTTTAGCTCTTTTAAGGTCTGTAATTGCTTTCTGTAAAAATGAAACCTCCTCCAGTCCCTTATCCATTTGCTTGACTGCTTTGCAGGAAGATGATTATGCACATGGAAGAAGAGAAGGGAGGGGGAAAGAAAAGCTGTTTGCACCTGGTGTCCCTAAATTTGACAAGGTCTGTGCAGAAGCCAAGGCACCATCAGGCCTGATGATGGTCCTGGGAAAGGCTGGAGTTGTAAGAGGGAAGAGCAGCAGTGCTGGAGGCAGCAGGATGGAGGAGAGGGAAAAGAAAGTCAAGGTGATCCTCAATCCCAGTGAAGGGGGTCGTGGAGAAGGTGACAGTCCACGCAGGAGTGTTTTATTGGACATGCTCAGTGCCAGATTTCTGCACTTGTTTCCAAGCAGCTATTACAGATTCCTAAGAGGTTCAGGCTGGGATGAATTATGAGCTAAGGAGAATTTCTGCCTAGCCAGACATTTACCCACAGGCTTTTTAAAAGACACCAATAATCACAACGTGGTGTGCGAGCGGTTGAGCCCTGTGTAAACACCAGCAGATTACTAAAATGGGATCAGTTCATCTGTGCAACGTGGCATGTGAAGAATTTTATCTACAAGGAAAGCCTAAAGCTTCCTAAACCTCTCTTGTCTCTACTTAAAAGGGTTTGCAGGTACTATTGTCCTGGGGAGAGCTCTCCCAGCAAAGCCCCTGCTGAAGATCCAGCTTAGTGTGACAATGGATTTCTTCTGCCAGCTCTCCAAAGTAAACACAATTCTAGCAGCAAAGCCCCACACTAAAGGGATGGTAAATAAGCCACGTCAAAGGTATTTCATGCCAAAGCTCTAAGGACATTTCCACTCCCATCCAAGGGCCAACACAAAGGTGGTGATGAGAGGAGCAACACTATCCCCAGATTTACCCAGCTCAGGATGCCATCAGTGAACTTGGTAATTACAAAAAACTCTGATTATTCTCCCAGCTGTCATCCTTTGAGACCCTTTCAGAACACGCAGAATCACAGAATATCCTGAGTTTGAAGGGACCTTTGTCATTTCAGCACTTTTGCCACATCAGAGGTGCAGCACCTGCTCTAACCTGTGCCCAGCTCCATCTCCATCCTTCTGTGCTGCACCTTCTGTGCAGCAGAGACCCAGCTCCTCGTGGCTTTATCTGTCAGAGCCTCACTCTCTCTCTCTCTCTGCAGGCTCAGAGTCATGCAAGTTAGGAGCTGATTCCTGACATCGAGAAGCTTTGATCTGGGAATGGCATGCAAAGAATTCTCTGCCTGAGTATCACCCATTTCATGCTTTCAACTTTTCTTCCCCGTGTTCACAAAACTTCTTGTGATTCACTGAGCTACAGAGGAGCTCTGCAAACCTCAGCACCTGCCAGCCTCCCCCCTCTGAGCACAGGCAGGACTTGGAATTTTAAGGGCTAAGCAAAGAAATGGATTTTGCCTTGTGCTTCTTGCACTCTTGTCCACATTTGGGCTCCGGGGAAAGGGGAGAACAGGAGGAAAAGGATGGGGGGAAGAAGGGGTTTTTGTCCTCCCAGCACAGTTGCAGCTATAAATGTCGGCATGAAACAGGCTTAGAAAAAGACCCAGAGCATTTTGGGAGCAGACACAGACACTTCTTTTAACAAAGCACGGCTAAAACACGGCCAGACTCTCACCAGGCGAGAGGTAGCCCGGGTGGGGCGGGCTGGTGTGCGAGATAAAAGCTGCCACACCAGCACCAAACCTGGCATTCCCGTGGGCTCTGCCCGCATCAGCACACAGGCTCTGGCTGCCACCGGTTAAACACGGGGGCTGAGCCGGCTCCTGCGGAGGAACAACAATTAAGGAGCCTTAAGAAGCAAATTGCAGGGACTGCCAGTCCAGGGGCGGCATCCGCCTCCTCGCCGCGGGCGCTGACAGGGCTCAGCCCGGCGCTAATGGTGATGAATGGGGCTTGACGTCAGCCCGGCAGGAGAGGATCCCTCCAGAGCCTCCCACGGCATGGGATAGCAGCCGGGAGAACAGCCCTGCCCCGGCCCCGCAGCGCTTCACCACCCTCTGCCAGGCTGCGGAGACAAAACACGGCGAGGAAGTCTGAGTGGGGCGAGGCTTTGGGCTGTGCCTGTGTCAAACTCACGGAAAACAAGCCAGGAGGAGGACAGGGCTGGGATCCCTTCCAGGAAGAGGAGTCCCTTGGAACAGCACCTTGGAAGCTCCATCCCCTGGGTGCTCGTGGCAGCATCTTCTCACCAGCGCTGCCCACAGAGCACTGACAGCGTGGCCAAGGGCAGGGAGAGCTCTCTGTGGGCCTGAAGAGCTTTCTAGAAAGGTGAAATAGCTGTTCAACCTCCAGACCCACCCGGCCACCAGGTATTACCCCCCTGCAGACCCAGAGCTGGCGCCTGTCCTGCTGGAAACCTGTTGGGATGCAGGGTGAGCACCTGGCTGGAGGCAACCCTGCTCCGTGCAGGGTGATCTCCAGAGGTTCCCTGCTATTCCATGCGACCCTGACAGCAGCAGCAGCCACTGCAGGGCAGTTTGGCTGCATCCTGCTCACCTGCATCTCTGCAGCACTGGCAGAGCAGCTCTGCATCTGCAGATCTGTCCCATGGCACAACAGGCACAGCTCTGCCAGGGGATCAGTGTGCTGGCTGCTCCTGCTCCAGCTGCCCACCTGACCTGACAGCAGCTATTTCAGGTTGAGCAGCACCCAGGTTGTCTGCTCAGATGCACATTCTTGCATTTAAAGGCAGGGCCTTTAAATGAGGGTCACCCCAAATCGGTGTTTGGGGGTTTTTTTTTTAAGGACATGCAGGAATTCTGCCACGTGAAAAGTGACAGCCTGAGAACCCTGGAGGCTGCAGCCCTCCCTTTAAGCCACAGTCAGGGTGGGATGACCAGCAACCAGGGTAGATGTCAGCCTCAGGTCTGCCCTCAGGTCTGCCCTCACCCATCCTCCTTCACCTGGACTATGGCAGGACAAAGTGTGTGCCAGGAGTTCTCTGTGCCCATGGCAGAGGCCAGTCAAAGTGAAGCCCCAGGAACGGGGAACCCAAAGAATGCAGTGAGCCCAGCCCAGCCCAGCCCACGCTCCCCGTGTTGGGGGTGATTTTGGCAGCACCAGCAGCACGATGCAAACCCCTCTGCCCGTCCCTGGCCGTGTTTGCACAACAACCCCCACACCCCTCCTCGCTCCCCCACCCCCTGAGCCCCCCCATGGCACACTTGCCAGCACAGACAGCGTGCAAACAGACTCCCCCTCCCTCCCTCCACCCACACACAGCTTTTCTCACTGAGCACCAACACCCACTGCGAGGGGAGAGCAGGACTCTGCCAGTTTTTAAGCATCTTCTCCCTCCTTTCCCCTTCCTGCCATCTCTTCGGAGCAGTTGAAGGGAAAGCACCACCTGGCCACCAGCAAGGAAGGTGGAAAACCATCACCACAAAGCTTTAAGGTCCTTTCAGTTCTGGGTGTTGCTGGTCCTGAGGCCAGACCCTTCCAGGAGATGGACAACTTCAACTCCCCTCACTTGGAAAAGAGCTCTGATCATCACTGAGCCAGGACAGACTCAAACCACTGACACACATCAAAGGTCCAGCATTATTCCACATCATGTCACTCCCCAAATGATCCTGCACAGTCACCCACTCATCATTACAAGCACCTTTAGATGCCTCCCACACCAGCACCAGCCTCACCCAAATACCCCTGCCCTGGAAACACTCCTGGATCTGCTGTGTTGGCATCACCAAAGGTGATTTGTTACTAAACAGTGCTGAAGGAAGCCTGGGCAGCTGTTAGAGGCTGCACAAAGCACACACCAGTCCCTTCCACCCCAGCCATCCTGCCACGGGTGAGCAGGACAGGGGACTGTCACCTCCTGGAAATAAACCCAGCCAGCCAGAGGTACCCAGGCTGCGTCAGAGGGAGGTTTTTGGGGAGGTCTTTTATCAAAACTGCAGCATCAAATCCTGCCAACAAATCAAACCCAAACCACAGCATCTCCCATTAGCTCCCCTCTACACCCCAGGGCGTTCCTGCAATGGGTTAATTCAGGAAGTGCTGCTGAGGGATCCCCCAAACAGACACAATTCCATGTGGAGGAGGAAGGGAGATGAGCACCGAGGCACTGAGCTGCCAGGACAGCAACTGCAGGCTGTGTGGAACAAGGAGAAGGCTGTCACACTGCTGTGAAAATACATTCCTTGGTCTGTATCATGCCAGGGAATTCATTTCAGCTCGAGGATGTGCTGGGGAGAGAGGGAGAGAAAGGCAAGAGCAGACAACCAGCAGGGACTGTGAGCCAGAGCCTGCACTGCAGCGGGAAGGAGCCAGACATAATTCTTCCAGCCCAATTGTCCCCCAGGGCTCTGATGCCAAAAAATAGGAGATGGGAAGATTTGCTGCTGCCCCTTGCTTGTTTGCTGTGGGCAGCACACGTGTGCAGTGTCAGCTGAACTGCTGGAGACCACGGGCTGTGCCAGAGCTGGGAATGCTGATGGGGGAGAGCAGCTTTACTGCCCTGCTCCTCCAGGGAGGAGCTGGGTGCTCAATCTGCCTGCCCTGCATGCTCAGAGGGGCAAATTAGCCCGGTCTCTTCCGAGTTTGGGACATCTTTCACAAAACAATGAGCTCAAAGGACTCTTCATTAGGAACTGTAGTGAGAGGACGAGGGGGAACGGCTTCAAAGTGATAGAGAGTAGGTTTAGATGGGATATTGGGAAGAAATTCTTCCCTGGGAGGGTGGGGAGGCCCTGGCACAGGTTGCCCAGAGAAGCTGTGGCTGCCCCATCCCTGGAATTGTCCAAGGCCAGGTTGGAGGGGGCTTGGAGCAACCTGGGATAGGGGAGGATGTCCCTGCCCATGGCAGGGGGTGGAATGAGATGATCTTTAAGGTTCCTTCTAACCCAAACCACCCTGTGATTCTATGATTCTATGAGTCCTTCCAAGTGATTTCTCCCAAGCCAAACCTCCAGCAGCTGATCCCAAAGAGTACAGGATTCCTGCTCTGATGACAAGTCAGGCTGCTGACACAGACAGAGGTGTCTCTACAGCTCTTCTCAAGCCACCCCAATCCCCCTCTTCCTTCCCTCTCCATTTGTTGTGCGAGCAGGTCGATAAGATATGTACTGGAAAATTTGGGTCAAGCACAAATTTATGTTTATGTAGCATCCTGCTCAATCATATCATGGTGCACAATTAGCTGTAATGGAATTTTCAGCTCTTAAGAATAAATCAATAGCTGGTTAATTTAGAAGCAATAAAATGAAACACTTTTCCCATACAGCCCAGAGTTGCTCTGAGGAGATTCAGTGCCACAGGGGGATTACAGGAAAGGCATTGCATGGAGCTGGATAATTCTCTGACCTTTTGGTCCTGCACATTAAGTGTGTGTGAGTCAAACCTTATTTTCTGACGGCTGATCAGGGCAAAGGAGGAACCTCTTGCCTACAATAATATTGTGCTGCACAGAGGCAGGTGCAGAGCTTTCGTTTTGGGTAAGATTTGGGACCCCTGTGGTAGGTTTGTGTTGCAGCTGATGCCTTCTCTGTGCTAAAGGTTGGATGGAGAAGAGTGTCCAAGGGTTAGACCCACCAAAAGAGGAATGTGTGCCCCTAACACAGGATCTGCTGGATCCCATGGGATAAGGGATGAACAAGGGGCTGGAAGCAAGGGAGAACTCCCCTGGGGGATGTCAAGGACAGAGAGGAGCCCCTTGGACAGTGCAATGCCCTCAGAAAACCACATCCCAAGCAGCCCTGAGCAAACACAACACCAAGCACACAGCCAGCTCTGCCCTGGCTGACCTGATCCAAAGTGCCAGTCCCTGGGATTGATCAAAAACTTGCTGAAACCACTATAAAGACTCTCGGGGACACAGCAAGAACAAAGCAGAGAAAGCTGCTTCTCTTCTCCAATTTGTGATTCAGCCTCACAGGCTTTGCCAGCTCTGCCTTGCTGAAGCAGAAGTAAAAATCCTCCTAAATAAGGCTCGAGCTGCAGAAGAAACAAACGGTTTCCGTGAGGAGATGAAGTTAAAACACCTACCACCAAAGAAAAACAAGCCTCCAGAAGCTCCCATTTAACGGGGAGGCACTGCCAGGGTTAGTAGGCCAAAAGTCTGGTGGCTGTTCCCTTCCTTTGTCTGCACAGATCACTCGCTGCTCTCGGCGCCTTCCCTCCTGCCTCCCACCAGGAATGCTGCACGAGGGTAATTGTGTGTGCATGTACATACACAGGCAGAGAAAGATGGGGAAAAGCTATGCCAATAGCCTGGAGCATTTGCAAACAGCCGTGCAGAAGGCTCTGCTGAAAGAGCAGATGGAGGTGGGATCTCAGCTGGCGTCGGGAAGCATCGCTCCGCTGGGAAAGGGCGACCCAGGAGACAGGAGCCGGCTCAGGAGAATCTGCAGTCTGTTCCATGACCTGTCTCTGACCCTCAGCAAATCCCAAAATCCCTCTCTCAGACTTAAGAGTTGTCCCACCTGACCTGAGGCACTCGGCTCAAACTCCTCAGGTAGGATGAGCATCAGCCGGGTCCCCTTCGCCATGTGGGGAAGAAGCAGAGAGAGGCCACTGGGCATCTTCTAGATGATGATTCCATAACCATTAAGGGTTGAAAAAGACCTCCAAGATCCTCAACTCCAACCTTCAACCAAATACTACCCAATAAATCAATAAACTGATGTTCACTCATCCCCTATAGCTGGGAGGAAAGCTGTGGCAGGAGCCCCAGATCCCTGCCTGGAGCCACAGGGGATGGATTTGGGCCCTTGTTCCTCTGCTCTGCAGGAGGTTAAATGATGGAGTGACTCAAGATCTCCTCTCCCACAGTGGTGGGATTATCACAAACACACTGAGGATTTGCCACCAGCTGAGAAAGTGTCGCTGGGTTCTCGCAGCTTTGGTAATGATGAGACAGGGTAGAAATAAGTGAGAAAGGAAAAGTTGGCTTAAACAGCATCAATCTTACTGTTAGCTTTGGCTGAGCCTATTTTACTAAGGATCTCAGAGCATTTTGTGAGCTGTATTTAAGCTCCAGGAACCCTGGGGCAGGGCTGCCTTTAGCTGCTGAGGAAAACAAAGAGCAGGGACGGGGGGTAGAGGCTGAATGGGCACAAGTGTACACAGAATTATGGTCAAACCCAGTAAAAAGCACCCAGCTTTATTGCTGGGCAGCAGCACCACAGAGCACAGCAGCGAAAAGACCTCAATCCACCTGCTTCAAGCAAACAGAAAGTGTTCTTCTCCAAAAAAAAAAAACCAAACAAAAAATCAGAGTTAAGAAGCTGAATTGAATCTCCCAAAACTTTTCTGGGTAAAAACGTGATTCTTACTTGCTTCCCTCCCAAACAGTCTGGTTTTGTGAGGTTTTTTTCCAGTTTATACCAAGCCTTGTGCGTTTTTCTGTTGCAAGCTTTCATTCATCTTTCCACCAAGAAAAAATAATCCACTCTGTAATGAGTTCTTACGCAGGATCCCAGAGTTCAGGTGTCTTTTCCAGCAGAGTGAGCACCCACTGAGAGCACCCACTTGGGGCCCTGCTGCTCCTGCTCTTGCTGTCACGCCACCACAACAAACCCATCTGCCACTGGGAGAACACACCCTCAAAGCCTCACAAATGGACTAAAACACCCCCACACTCAGTCCTTCTCGTCCTGGAGCACTTAAAAAAAAACCCATCAGGGCTCTGCGTTCGCCAGGTCCCGGCAGGGCAGAGTTAAAAAGAGCGGAGTTGTTAAAAAGAGCAGAGTTAAAAAGAGCAGAGTTAAAAAGAGCAGAGTTAATTCACTCACCCGGGCAATGAGCTCGCCCACCATCCCTGTCCACGTGCCATTGGCCTCGGGGACACCGTAAACCCCGTCCCCAACGAGGTGGATCTTGTAGTTGAAGCGCAGGATCTCTGCCAGCTCCTTCAGCATGTCCACGCAGAAGCCCTCGTAGCGGTCGTTGCCTTCCAGCTCCTGGTGGTTCCACTTCAGCATTAAGTAAGGGTTTTCCTGCAGTGAAACTGGGCAGCTGTCATTCCCATCTTAGCCAGCACGGAGCGGGGAGGGCAGTGCCAGGGTGGCAGGAACTCGTGGAGTGGTGGGATGGTCTGGGTTGGAAGTGGCCTTAAAGATCCAACCCCAGTTTAAGGGGCACACCATCCCAGTATGGATATAATTGATATGGAAAGCTTGAGTGCAGGGGGTGTAAAGCCATCAGGGCTGTTTCCACACTGGGATTCACTGGGCTCTGCTGCGTGGATTTATCCCAGTTTAGGATAAGGGATCATGCTCTGGGGGCTGCTTCCAACTGGGACATGCCCAGAGCAGCCCAGTGACTGCTCTGAGTCACAGCAGGACACACAGACTCAGCTTCTCTTGGCAAAGAGCCACTTCTCCAGTCTGCCCCCACTTTCAAACTTTGTGGGACATGAGGAAATAGGATTTTGGGTGTCTTTGAGGAAGGAGCAGAGGCATTGAAAAAAAAAAAAATCACTGGACAGGCAGCACCTGGAAGGGGAAACCTGTTGAATAAGGTGGTGCCTGTAAATGTGAAGTCTTCATCAAAATTGAGCCCATCTTAGCCAATTTTTATAATTTTATGGGTTGAAGGGACAATTGTCCCTTCCAACTTACCAGCTGTACGCAAAACAAGACCATCATTCAGAGATGAATGTAAAATGGCAACGTATCCCCATCCCAGCCCTCTCCCCAGCTGCTTCTGAACTCATCAAATATCATTTCCATATGAAACATCGACTTGAGTTTAATTACACTGTCATGAATTGTCCTCAGTGCCGTAATTAGAGATTTGATGGCCTGCTCTGGATGAAATCAGCGTGCAGTGCCTCATGCTGGGGGTCCAGGGGGGTAGGGAGAGGGAGGGATATTCCAGCTGCTCGACACCCCTGTGAGTTGGGAGCCAGTGGGAACTGCAGGTGACCCCCTCACTTACCAGGATGGTGGTGACAATGAGCGTGGTGTTGAACAGACTGTCTGATATGTTGGAGGAGAAGATCCTGTTGTCCATGCTGAGTCCTTCAGACACGTGCCAGTGGCCAATCTGGAGGGATAAACAGCACAATAAGGGAATTTATAGGGCGAGTTACTGCACAGAACCCACCATATGGCTCTGGTGAGTGACAGCCATCGGGCTGGCCTGCCTGTGAACGCTCCATTACCTTTACAAGGCACCCCCACAACAGGTCAGCAGAGACATTAACCCTCTGGTGCACCCCCCACCTGCTCTGCAGTGCCAAAAACCTGTCCCTGCTCAGGGCAGGAGCTGCCTTCCCACACGTCCTCCCTGCAGCAGCTCCCTGGGGCTCGTGGTGGTCCAACAGCCCGGTGTGCTGGCCCCAAAACGCCACCAAGGTGGGTCAGTCTTACCCAGCAGTGCCCAACACAGCCAAATCTCCAAGTTTGTCCCTGCCAGCGTGGTTTTGGAGGCTCTGCCCTCCACCTTGGGGGCAGATGGTGGAAGGAAGGCACGTCCTCAGTGGTGCTGCTCCATGACTCATCTCCTCTTGCTGCTGCAGTGGATGCCAGCTACTCCAATTAAGTACCTCCAAGCTTTGATCCGGGCTCATCACACCCAACAGCTCTAATTTAGCCATCCAAGCATCAGTGTCACTGCAGCAAAGCCCAATTCCCACCACGGATGGCAGGGACCAGTCCCCCAGTGCTTGGGAGGACGCTGTGATTCAGCTGTGACGCAACAGAACCATCCTGCTGCCTTCAGCCAGGGGGGAGGAATATTCAACAGAACCTAATTTTAACTTCAAGAGCCTAATCTCCCTCCCTCAGAGCTCTGGGCAGGGAGATCAGCACCTCCAGCATGCAAATCAGACTCTGGCTAAAGGAGCCTCTGCTTTTCCTCATGGATAGAGGGGTGGCTGGGGGAGGCCAGCTCCCTCTGAGACCACTTCTCCCTCCTGTTTCTCCTCTCTGTCCCCATCAGTCCAAGCCCCCTGCACGACTGTTGTCCTCAGACACCTCTGAAGTGAGGTGTTGTGCCCCTGAGAGGCAGCGGGTGACCCCAACACGCAGGGGAGCCTTCACGGCTCTTCCACGGCCGGAACAAATCCATTCCCAGCTCCCTCGTGCTGCCACGAGGCAGGTTCTCCTCCGGCTGTGCCACGGCTGTCAGGGTGGCAGGAACAAATGGATTCCTGTTCCGTCACAGACTAATCTTGTTGTGTCCAAGGAGGCGGGCGGGAGGTGACGCGGAGCCGCGGCCCGGGCGGGAGCGCGGGATACACACGGATTTACTCTGCCCTGGGATTGACTCCGTGCACCCAGCCCCTGCTCCTCTGCTGTGACTGACGGCTCCAGGGCTTTGGAGTCACTTCCCAGCTCGTGGATCTGAGCCCAACACAACCTGACACCGCAGCCCTGCTGTGCACACACCGGATCCTCCGGATGGGCAGGGAGTGACCAAGTCCTTTCCTCTCCCAGCTGTTGGTGCAAATCCAGCCCAAGTGACCAACAAGCCATTATTACAACGTGTGGGATGTCCCTAATTCAGCTTCCTCACCTCAAGGCACAAGGAGCAGTGGGAAGTGCAAGCAGGACAGCTTACACTCAGAGTCACAGAATCACACAGAATATTCTGAGTCTGAAGGCACAAGATCATCAAATCCAGCTCCTGACCCTGCACAGAACACCCTCAAAATCCCCTCATGTGCCTGAGAGCACTGTCCAAATGCTCCTTGAGCTCTGTCAGACTGTGACCACTGCCCTGGGGAGAAGGAGCAGGCAGGGAAGGCAAATGTCTGGGAAGCACTTCCTCTTGGAGGCTCCCCACTAACAGGAGAGGCACTGGGGAGGTCACCAGTGTCATCTGGCAAACAAGGAGATGGAGGCACAGGGATGGTGTGTTGGAGCAGGCTGGGTGCAAATTTTGGGCACCCTGTTGACAGCTGCTTGTGACTTTACCACCATGCTCACAGCCCCACGGTGACACTGCTGTGCAGGACTCACCTCTGCTGGGGAACAACAGCCTCAAACTGGGAGATTTACCTGGTATTTCACAGGAAGGGGTCCTTAAAGCACAGCCTTAACTGGCCTGCACAGGGTGTGCATGGATGGGCTGGGATGGATCCACCCCAGCCCTGCACAGAGGTCTCTCCTCTCGCTGGGATTGCTGAGGAGCAGCCCCTCTGCAGCCATTTCCTCGCAGGGAGAGTCATCACTCACAAACATTGCCTCATTTTTTTTCCCCTCCTGGATCTCACAACCAGAGATTAGTGACAGATTAACTTTAATTTTAACAGCCCTCGCTGTTCTCCAATTTGTCCCTCCCCTGCTGGCACACGCTGAGACTAATTGCCTGCCTCCTCCTCTGACAGTGCTGTGGGTTTGACCTTGCTTTTCACACAGCACCAAAGCCACACTCTCCCACGTGCCAGGGTCCTTCCCCCCAAATCCTGGGGGGACTCAGCTCACCACTGTCCCCCTCACAGGCTGACAGAGCCACTAATTGACTCCCCACACCGCTCGTTGTTTCCAAAGTGCAACGTGTCAGAGGGATCCTCACATCCCTCCCTTTCCTGCAAGATGGATGTCAAGGTGATTTTAATCACCTCAATCTACATATAAAGAGCCTCTGAAAAACAGAAAACATATCCATCTGCAAAATGGGCTGGAAAACAATCAAATCCTCCACGTGGACGTGGATAAGACCATCCTGTTGTTAAGGTTCTGGACAAGGACTTCCGAGTTTTTAGGACTGGGGGTTTTTTAGTGGTGGATATGATTGGTCTGTATAAATACAGCAGGTGGAGGAGGCCCGTAGCAAAGAGGTAGAACAGCTTTTGAAGCTGAAATGATGGCATTGGCACAAAAATAAACAGACATAAACCAGCCAGAAATAAACAGCCTGAAAACTGGAGGAGTGTTCCTAATGATCAGAGGAGCTGAAACAGTGTCATACCTGTCCTAGGAGGGCAGCAAGAGCAACACAGTCACCTGGGTGCAAGCTGGAGCTTGATGCCTTTGTGAGAGGGATTCTACAACCTGTGACAGGTGACAGGTCTGGATGGAGAAGGTCCCCTCCATGCCCTCAGGGCTGTGTGGTCCCACTGCATCATCTCTGCACATCCCAGTGCCTCCCTCTTGACCAAAGAAGATCAAGTCCTGCCTGCAGCACCCACAGGCCCCTCGAGGCAGGTCAGCAAACACAGTTTCAGTGGGAGCCAGCCCAGAAAGCCTCGAGCCAGGGGTAAGCAAGGAAGGGCCATTTCTCATGCCACTGCTCCATCCCCACAGGCAGGCAAGGCCCCTCAGTTCAGCTGCTCTGCAAAGGGTGTTATTTGGATCAGTGGCAACCAAAGATTTCTCATCTCCCCAGAAAATCCCTGGCAGCTGACACCATGCACAGGGGGCAGTCCTGGCTGCTCCTCCCATCCTGCAGCCCCTCCATGCAGAGGCTTTGAGGCTCCTTATGGTGTGAGATGATGGAATACCACTCCAACTAATGATTTGAATAAAGTCTTCTGCTCAGTGTTATCTAGGCAGCTGGTGGCAGGGAGAGATGACATAGCAAGACTTCTCCATAAGCCTCAGAGGCACCACAGGTACTTCCCAACCCCATTCCCAGCTTAAAATTAAGGTAAAGCCAGGCCTGAATACAGGTCTTGGAACGGGCAGGGGAGTGCAATAAACCCAGACACCTTCTGGGCTCTGATTAGCAAGTGCTGTCCTACAGCTTGCATCCTTCACAATGTCCCCAGGAAAAGGGAGGAGTGCAGAGTGCAATCATCCCTCATCAAGGTGCCCCAAGGAGAGGGAATTTAGGAGTGCCTGGGGGGAAAAAAAAGGGAATAAAGCAAATGAGGGAAAGCCCTCAGAGGACAGGTCTGCCGTGGGGTTGGCACTCCTGAAGGACATCACTGCCAGGCTGATGCCAGCACAGCAGGCAGGCAAAAGCTTCCTCCACTGAATTTAGGAAAGGGCACTGAAAGCAGCAGCTGTTAAAGCCTGAACAACCACAAGACACTCACACAACCCTCCCTGAGGTCATGCAGCAACCCCCACAATCCCCTTCCTCCCCAAGTGTCCCCTCTGGACACGATGGACACTTGGCATAGCCCAGACAGGGCCTGACAGTGGCATGTCCGAGTTTGTCAGGTCCTGGGGGCAAAAGCCATTCAGCTGTTGGCAGGATCTGTCCCTGAGCCCTTACTGGGGGTAACAGCTAAGGAGGAACAAGTCCCATCGAGGCTGATTAGCCTCTTCCAAGTTAAAGAGGTTTGATGCAGCAGGGATTGCTGAGGGTCTCAGAGCTATCACTGGGAACTCATCTGTATCTCATCAACATACCAATTAAACAGCCCCATCACTCCACTGCTCTGTCTCAGGACTCCAGCAGAGCCTTTAGTTAAAGAGAGACTAATCTGCCTCACTTAGGGCCAGGCAGAGCTGGGGTCAGTGTGCCCACGGCTCCAGCCCCACCACAGCTCCCCCTGCCCCTCCTCTGCCCCTTCCCTTCCTAAATCACAGCCCTCCTTCAGCCCCTTCTCGTGCTGAGCTGCCAAACCTCAGCTCGTGGTTTACTGCCAAGCACTCCTCTGAACCCACAGGGGTGTGCTGCAATGCTTTTCAAAAGGGGCAAAGAGAGGGAAAAAAAAAAATAAAAAAAGCTGACATTTACAAACTCAGCCCTTGTCAGATCCATAGATCACCAGCACATTAATGAGCCTGTGCTTTATCGAGCATCCTGTGAACAGGGAGCAGCTCTCATATGGCTGTGGGAAATAAAAAAAAAAAATCCCTCTAGTTAAGCTAAATCAGGAAAAAAGACACGTTTGGTGCGTTACATAAATGTATTAAAAATTGGATGTCAAAAAGCCCTGCCTCTCCTCGCCCAAAAGCAACAGCAAGTTAGAAAGTCTTAAACGTCTCTAATTTGTTCGCTGGCTGGATCAGCTTCAAAATTTGGTGAACTCTCTGTCAAAGCTGATGAGCTGGAAGTCCCTGTGGCTTCAATAGATGGAAGGAGAGAGAGGAGAAAAGAGAAAGAGGGAAGGAGAGGAAGAGAGGAATGGGCAGAGAGCGTGGGGTTGATTAAAACTAAGGAGGGAATAGAAGTGTTTCAAACAAGAGCCTGAGCAAATCAGTTAATGCAACCCTTGGGAACAACATTGTCTCCAGGATGTGAACGCCTGTTTTTTAGCCCATTCCTTTAATTAAATTATTTCTAATGATTTATTTAGTCCTTTTTATTACAGGAAGCCAGGCTGGCAATGAGAAAATAACCACCTGTGGCCCAGCAGAGTGGCCTCTGCCTTCCCTTTGCAGGGACCTGGAGGGGTGGGAGGTCAGGCAGGAGCCTGCCAGGTTCCACAGCTCCCTAAGGATGCCCTTCCCAATTAAACACAGCCCTGTTTCAGGCTGTGAGGGAGCCTGACACCCCTCCAGGCACTGCTGTTGGTCAGGCAAGAGCCCTGAGAAGGGGAGAGGAGAAGGAGGAAAGGCTGCCACAGGCATTCCGAGCAGGTTTACAAAAAACCGGCTCTTTGCCGGTGGGTTTGTGACAGGAGAGGGTTCACAGCCACCACCAAGGGACTGCCCTGTCCTTCCAGCACCTTTTTACTGTGACTGGCAGTGATACATCACCACTGCACCCTGATGGGAAATTTGGGAAGGTTAATCCCAGCACAGCTTTCCTGGGCACCTTGGAAACACGAAGCTCCTCGTTCACAGAGGTCAGGAAAGGTTTTCTCCTGTCAGACCAGGTTTGTGGGGAAGAGCTGAGCCTTTAGTCCCAGGGCAGATTAGGCTGCAGTCAGAGCTCTCCGTGGAGCTCTGGGAGAGGCTCTGCTCCAAGAGGACCTGTGCCTTTCCTGTGAAGTCCCTGCCACATTTAAACACATCAAAACCAAAGCTGTCACAGGGAGGTCTGCAGCGTTTCCTTCCCCAATCCAGCTGAATGCACGTCCTTATTAACACAGATGGGCTTGGATCTGTCACTTTTGTTCAGAGGATGATGGGCTTGGGACAGGATTAAAAGGGCATTGATGCCACGAGAGATCTCACTGTGGGGAAAATGCCATCCTGATCCCCCTCTCACACAGCAAAAGGCAGCATCAAAGCCAAGCTGTCACTTGACAGGTAAGAACTGGCAGGTAACATCCTTGCCAAGGCTGAAATTCAGTGCTGCCAGACCAGGGGAGACTTCCCAATGCCAAAAAGCTCTGTTGGTGAGGGTAAGATACAATAGCTTTTGTTCTCTGCCAAAGTCTAAGAGAAGTGGCAGTCTGAGAAAAGGGTAGCAGTGGAGTTGTCAGCAGGGAAATAAGATAAAACCTCTTTTTCTGGGACTTCTACTTTTTTTTTTTCCTGAATGCAGTATGGATTTACCAGTAAAACCCTAATTCCTTGGGCTTGTGTCATGTAATCTCAGCAGTCTGACACCCGTGACCCCACCTTAACCTTGGCTCAAGGAAATATCCCTTGGACAGAAAGAGGGTGACGAGGAGAGAAAGGACCAACACTGGGAGGAAGCCAGGAGCACTGAGACAGAAAGCAAACGAGAGTCTGAGCTAAGCAAACCTGTCACAGGGGAACCACAAACCGAGGGGTGGAGGATCTTGAACTTCCCCCCACATGCCAAGTAGGGGAGAGATGGTGGGGAGCTCCTGATAGGGGGTTGCCCCATTTGCTTTCCCTCACAGAAGTTGTTTGGAAAGGTTCAGAGTACCCCCATTTTTTTTCCCCCATTTCGTGGGAAATTCTCCCGTTTTTCCAAACAATTTTGAGCAAAGGTATCCACGAGCTTAAGGACAAAAGGGCCACGAGCGTGAGCTCGTACCTGGCACAGACTCCATGCCCTGGATTACCTCCTGGACACGGAGGTTACTGTGACAGGACAGAGATTGGCTCTGACATCGCCACCTCGGGGGCCTGATGCATGAAGACACATCTAAATTATCCCAGATGTGCTCCTGACAAAGTGGAACCTGCTGTGTTTGGCAGCCCAGGCTCGGTGAGAGCCGCTGTGACCCACACCCTGATCCATGCCCTGATCCACACTGTGATCCATGCCCCTGATCCACACTGTGATCCATGCCCTGATCCACACCCTGATCCACAGTGTGATCCATGCCCTGATCCATGCCTCGATCCACACTGTGATCCACGCCCTGATCCACACTGTGATCCATGCCCTGATCCACACTGTGATCCATGCCCTGATCCACACTGTGATCCATGCCCTGATCCACACTGTGATCCATGCCCTGATCCACACTGTGATCCATGCCCTGATCCATGCCCTGATCCACACTGTGATCCATGCCCTGATCCATGCCCTGATCCACACTGTGATCCATGCCCTGATCCACACTGTGATCCACACCCTGATCCACACTGTGATCCATGCCCTGATCCATGCCCTGATCCACACTGTGATCCATGCCCTGATCCACACCCTGATCCACAGTGTGATCCATGCCCTGATCCACGCGATCCATGCCCTGATCCACACTGTGATCCATGCCCTGATCCACACCCTGATCCACAGTGTGATCCATGCCCTGATCCATGCCTCGATCCACACTGTGATCCATGCCCTGATCCACACTGTGATCCATGCCCTGACCCACACCCTGATCCATGCCCTGATCCACACCCTGATCCATGCCCTGATCCACACCCTGATCCATGCCCTGATCCACACTGTGATCCATGCCCTGATCCACACTGTGATCCATGCCCTGATCCACACTGTGATCCACGCCCTGATCCACACTGTGATCCATGCCCTGATCCACGCCCTGATCCACACTGTGATCCATGCCCTGATCCACACTGTGATCCACACCCTGATCCACGCCCTGATCCACACTGTGATCCACGCCCTGATCCACACTGTGATCCACGCCCTGATCCACACTGTGATCCACGCCGTGCTGAGCACCTCTCCTTGCAGAGGGGGGGCCCTGCAACCCCCCTGGGTCCCCACAGCAGCAGCCTGAGCCACCACCCCACCAGGGGACACAGAGATTGTCCCTGGGCACTGGGTCTGCTCTTACCTGCCGGAATCCAGCCCGGGTGTGCTGCAGGATTTTCAGGGCGTAGTTGGACCGTTGGCCTTTGCTGTTGAATTCGATGTGGCCGGTGAGACCTTCCAATTCTACCTGTCCAAGAGAGACTGAGTTACAGCGCCCAGCGAGGTGGCTCTCCCCACCACCCTCCCAGTGCAGTCCTTGTGTCCCCACCCTGCTTGCTCTCAGAGTCCAGAGGGAAACAGAAGCAGGAGAACAAAGTGCAGGGCTCCCCAGGTTTCTTTGTTTGGGCTAAACCAACTCCACAGCCCCTCATCACCTCCCCCCATCCCAAGGCTAAGCCACTGGGGCTCCAAGGACCAGAGCTAAGGGAAGCTGAAGGATTTTGTTGGCTCTGACTAAGGGTGAGATTTAAAACAGGTTCACATGCATGGACTGAAGCGGTACAAGGCTCAGGTCCAGCTGAGCTTTCCCTTGGGGGGAAAAAAAAGCCTCTTGAAATTTCCTGGTCTCAGTTGCCCCCCCCCCAAACAGACTCAGAAACCTGCTCCTTCTGCATGGTCATGGAATCATATTGGCCAACCCCAGGATGAAATTTCAGAGTGTCCTCCCGCCAGAACTAGGCTTGTTTGGTTCCAGCAACCACACTTTTGGTTAAAAGGAGCCCAAACTCCTCCACAGGGGAGCTCACATCTTACTACTGAGCTCTGAGCAACTGTACAGCGTGATCTTATATCGACTCAAGTTCACTGAAAACAGGGCTCAGAAACATTCATACTTTAGCAAAAAAAAAAAAAAATCCATTGAGTTTCAGTTTTTCTGCAGCAAAAACGGGGAGTTTCATGTCGTTCCAAGGCCAGGGACAACAGGGACAAACCAGCCTTTAGATCTGCTCTCTAAATAGCACAGACTGCCAGCCACCAGCACAGCTCTTGCTGCTGGCAGTGGGGAGCACGAGCTCTGCCACAGCAGCACACACTCCAGCCCCCTCTCACCATTCTCAGGTAGTTCATGAGGCTGGTGCCGTGCTGCCAGATCTGGGCAGAGCCGCAGGACAGGGGCTTCACCCCGATCTCCTGGCTGCGGTTGAGCTCCTGCACGGCCGTCACCACGGCGTACACGGCGTCGAAGAGCAGGGCAGAGGAGAGCTGGGGGGAAAAGGGGACAAAAACTCAGGCAGGAAGACAAAAACCCGGCCCCCCACCGCTCCTTGCAGCAAGCAGGACAGCGCCCTATTCACAACCCCTTTTTCTTCTACTGTTGTCATCTTTCCCTCTCTCTCTGTCTCTGCCCCTCCCCATTCTCTTCTAACCTCAGTTTCCTAGAGTAACTCACTTTTTCTAATCCAGGCATGTTGGTGACTCTGATCAATCTGCTGGCCAGGAGGAATGCTCCTGAGAGCATCAGGTTTGTGGAGTTCCTAAAATGGGCAGCTGGGCAGAACAGAGACCCTGTGCCTGCACTCACAGCAGGCAGGATGATTGTGCTGCTTCAGCCATTATTGGGCATCAGTGTGTCCTTCTCTGACAGGCAGATCCACACGAGATGAGATGAGATTTTGCTAGATCTGCTTCTCAAGCAGCCAAATCCTACTTTTCAGACCCCACAGGGACCATCCAGTGCTGTGCTACACCCCCAGTTCCTGCTGTAATGGCTCTGCTGAAGGCATGTCCAGAGTCACACGGCTCTCCTCCTCCTCCTCTTGGCTTTGTTTGCCTTTCATCAGGTTTCTTTGTCCATCAAGCCTCACAAACCGTGTTTCTTGCCCGAGCACAAGTGTTTCCAGGCCTTTGATCCCATTAATAATCAGCCATTTTCCCTCTCGTGTTCACTGGTGCGACTGAGATTTCACTTTTAATTACTGTCACCTCCTGACTGTGCTGGAATTAAGCCGTTGCACCTCATTACTACCAAGGCTACATTTTCCTCATGGATACTTCCAGGAGCATCCTCTTCCCATCCCGGCTCCTGGCAACGGGCTCAGTCTCCAGCCTGGGGCTCCTTTGCCTGCCTTACCCTGGCTGTGGAATCTGCATCCTCTCCTCCTCCCAAAGCCTGACTAGGTTTGTTCAGTGCTGCCAGTGGCCCTGCAGGGACAATCTCTCCCAGTTCAATCATCCCAACAAACCTTTGGCTTCCACTGCGTTACTAATTCGAACGGAGCGAGGCAGAGTTAACCCTGCTTGATCTTCCTCACATCAGTGGTGAGACCTCACTGACCACGGTGGGCTGGGATCAGACACTTGACAAGCAGCACAAAAACCTTTAAACCCACAAGCCAGCAGTTAAAAGGCAGGATTCCAGCCTCATGCCAGCAAAACCCCAACCACCAGCTCTGACAGCACCGGTGACCTCTCACTCCTCCAGCCCTGACTCACCTTTGCCCTGTCCCATTCCTCCTGCACATCCCAGCTTCATCTGTTTTACACAAATCCCACCCAGGTTTCTCCAGGGAGCCCTGAGAAGCTTGACTGGCCCCTGCCAGTCTTGCAGCTCACCTGTCTCCCATGGAACAGGCACACTTTTGGTCATGGAAGTTGAGCACACAAGGAATGAGTGGAAGAGTGGGAAGAGAAATTTGGCATTTTGTTTCCTCTCCTGTCTCAGCTGGGAGGTACCACAGGGCCCTTTGCAATGGCAGCAAGAATCTCTCCTGCACTTCTTCCCTCCTGTTTGGGGGTAAGTCTGCTAAGCTTGATCCAACATTCCTCTCCTGGGAAGTGTTTTTCAGAGATCCTTAAAGGAGATGATATATCCTTCTCCCTGCCTTTATTTTTTCCTAACAGGGCCTCTCCAGCCTGTCCTGTCCTGAGCCCCTGTTGCACGAAGCTCTTTAGCATACACTTAATTTTCACTGGGAACTTAATCCCACTCAGGTCACAGGATGTCACACACAATTAGCAATTACTTCCCTGAATCAGGAACCAGATTAACACCACCAGCTGGACAAATGAAACTGTTATGAGACCAAACACAACCCCTGTGACCCCAGAGCTTCACCATTTCGTACCAAATCAGAATATTGGCCCAGCATTTTTAATTGTCTCCTGCTGGGTTTCCATTTCCATTTGCCCTGAGCAGTTAATGACCTCTTATTAGCTGGTGAGCAAGAGACTTGCAGATCTCAGCGAGGCATTTGACATTATTGGTTGGAGTGTTTTGCTCTGAAAAAGTTGTCAGGATTTCTGGCAGGCCCCTTATAATTTCAAGGAATTTAGGGACTGGGGAGGGCATGGTGATACATAGGATCAAGTTCTTGTGGTAGGGAATAGGAATCCTTCCCATTCCTCTTTTCTTTCCCGAATTAAAATCACAGCTTTCCTCAGGAGCTCTCCCATTTGCCTCTCAGCTCACCCCAGTGTTTTCTGTTTCTCATCTCTTTCTCAGATGGTAACTCAGATATAACAGATCATATTCAACACAGCAAGGAAATTTGGGATGCAGTTGTGTGGAGGAAACCCATTCCCAATTACAGGGTGTTGGGAGTGCAGCAGCATTTCTGGATTCTTTGTCCCCCTGGATTTTGGAGGCAGGCAAGTGTCTCCTGCAGCCCAGAAAGTCAAAATGAGGACGGGGTCAGCTGAGAACATCCCCTCCCCTTCCCTGCAGCCTCCCCTGAGTCAGTGCTGAGGTACCAGAAGCTGCTGGATTTTGCACTGGAAAAGATGCAAAGCAGCCACACATTTTGGAGGGCACAGCCTTCAGCAGGGGAGTGGAGAGAGACCTGGAGGCAGCACCTTTGGAACTCCCTCCAGGCAGATCCAGTGAGGGGGATCTGCCACTGCCTTCCTGTTACTTCACCTCAACTTTCTCCATGTCACCTATAAAATCTCTCACTCCTTTCATGTCCTCTTTTTAACCCCCAGCTTTGTCAGCCTGTCTCAAACAGCCAATTTGTCTGTTAACAAATGGATTCTGCTCCTCGCTTGCACCGTCTGATTTGTGCAGATCCCTGCTGGTTTTGTGCCACCCCTGCCATGCCAGAGCTCCCTGGCAGGGTCAGCAGATCCACAGGGCTCTGGGGACTTCCCTCAATCCCCAAAGCCAAACTCTTGACAGTGCAAGTTGCTGATGAAAATTGCCACTTGCTGGGTGTCTCATCAGGGCAGGGCTCCAGGGAAGGGGAGGTGGGCTCCCTGCTCCACCCCCAGCTGCACAAGGAGAGGCTGTACCCAAAAACTAGGGGGGTGTTGAAGAGTCCAGCTGTGACACAAAGCCCTGGGAACAACTCACCAACTAGAAAGCATCAAAAAAACCAAGATCAGCAGCTGGACCTTCCAACTGGTGTCTTCAAGACAATGAACTCCATCAGATGCCCTGAGCCTGAGCTCCAGCTCCTTGCTGGATGCAACACATCCTCCTTCCAACAGCAGACCTGCCCCTCTGAAAACCAACAGCAGTCAAGTAGAATAATCCACTTTTTTTTTTTTTAAATCTCCCATGTAAAGGCCAATGATTAAAGGCAAGCTGCTCTCCAGGGAAACAGTGAACAGGTTTGGCTACTTTGGGTTGTGCCATGTGGGTTGGCTTTTTTTTTTCCCTTTCCTTCCTCAAACATTAGCATCTGTATCTTTGCCCCCAAAACATAACAGGGAGAATTAAAGCCGTTAAAACCCTGTGAAACAGACTTTACAATCTGGATTTTATTCAATGGCATAAACACTTAATTACAAACATCTGTTTTAGCCTAAATTCTAATTACCAAATCTAGCCATCTGTAATTTGAATGATTTTCTCTGATTTCCTTTCTTTGCAATGTGATTAATGAGAATGGCATTAGAGCAGGCAGCTCCCTCCTCCTTTGTCAGATGCTTCCTCAGCTCCAGAAGAAAGCCCTGGGATTTTGCAGCTCGCAGGAAACCTCCCTCCTGTCACTTCCAGCTGTTGAGCTTCCTTTCTCCTCTTTAGGATGAGCTATTCCATGAGACAACTCCTTCCCAGGACTACAAGGGGAAGTTCTAACACAGAGGGCTGTTCCCTGGGAGGTGAGACCTGCCAGATTTCCGACAGCAGAGATGATCCCTGGCGGAATTTTCCTCCCAGACAAAGGCAAGGAAACACATGCCCTGTCTGGGAATATTTCAGCTCTGCTCTGTAACTTCCCCACCCAGGGCAAATCCCTTTTTCGTCACCTGGGACACGGCATTTTGAAGAATTCCAGGCATAATCCTGCATCCTTCCACCTCTGCAGGTTTTGCTGGTTGCTCGAGACAACACAGGGTAAGAAGGCCCAATGAGAATTTTAATTTCCCCATCACACCTGCTACACTCCTGTTCCTACTGACTTCTGCTTGTACTATTAGAGGGAAATTTGTTTTTAATGCCTCTGAACTGTCATCCAAATGGGAAGTTTCCTGGTAGCAATCCCATGGAGATTCAGCAGGGCAGGCAGCAAGTGACTGGAACAGGGAGGAGGGAGAGCAGGATGGTTTCAGGCACATCCAACAGGTAGAAATAATAATAATAAGGGCAGCAAGCTCCTAATTTTGCCTGTTAAGGATCACTTTGTGGTGACAATAAGGTTTTCAGAGCTGCCTCAGCTCGTCAAGGGGACTCTGAGCTCATTAAAAAACAAGCAAGAGGGTTCCACTGATGGTATTTTCTCTCTCTCTCCTCCCCCAGCTCCAGTCACAGCACCCCTGATGTGGCAAATGTGCTTTGCAAACCTTCCCAGTTGGGGAGAATCCCTAGGGAAGATTTAAGTCCTGATCTGCACATTCATCAGGGAGATGTTGGAGCATGGAACACAACCCAGCCTTTTGGCATCTGCCTGAGCCCAGCCCTTTCTGGGCCATCTGCATTCCCAGTCCCTCTGCCACGAGCCATTGTTACTGGAGGTAAAACACACAGGGACAAACTTCACAAGGGAAACACTGAATCAGAGCTGCATCATCCCCTGCACTCACAGAAAACACAGTTCAAACTAAGATTAGCCTTGAATTTAGAGCTGTGCACCAGTTCAAGCACAGAGAACCCCTCGAAAGCTCTGCTCCCCAGGTCCCTTTGGGCAGCCTCTGACTTTCAGGATCACTTTAGTATTCTCCAAATCAAATCCTCCTCTGCAAATCACAGCTTGATACCCAAATTCCTCTCCTACCTACTTAGCTAAAATGCTCTGTCTGGCTCATCCTTCCCATTCCTCTGCCCACAAAAGCCAGTCCAAGGTGCAGCAGTACAGCTGCAGCCTGAGCTCCTCAGCACAGGGTTTACTTGGATTAAATAATTCAATTATTTAATAAATTTAATAATTAAAAAAACGTACCCTTTGAGAGCAGAGCTTCTACCTCTGCATTGCCAGGCTCTGCTCAGGACCATCCTGAAGTTCCTCTCACAAGGTTTTCCTGTTGGTTTATAGCTATTTCCAGCCCAGGGAGGCTGTGGGTGATGGGAATGAATTTTACTTACTGCTGGCCCAGTGAACGGAGCGTGATCACAGTTCTCCTGCCAGGACTGGTTGAGGCTCTGGACAAACTCTTGGAAGAAGGCATGAGACTGGTTGAAAATGGAAAATCCCAGGATGTTGACTCTGTCGTCCAACAGGCTGTCCAGGCGCTGGAGGGAGAACTCCTAAAGCAGCACGAAGCAGAAAATGAGATTAGGGGAGAAAACAGGCACTGAAAGCTTCCAAACCAGTCAACCCTTGGAGGGAAGATGGGACTGTGGAGTTACACGTGGAACCCCCTTTCCACACTGGGGATGAAACCCACCCACTCGTTGGCGAGGAAGGTCTGGGTGCTAAACAGGATTTGTGCTGCCCATCTCAGGCTTGTAATGAAGATGGCAGCCAAGTCCAGGGTTATATTGGCCAAATTTCATCAAAAAAAAACCAAACAAACAAACCCTGCAAAAAAGGTTAAGGAAAGTTTCCATTCCTGAGCTGTGGTTCCTGCCAACCCACACCTGAGTGTGGTGTTCCTTTTGCAGTTACAAACCACCCCCCTTCTGGCAGGAGCTCCCTGTGACACCAGGGTCACAGCCCAGGCAGGGAGGTGGATGATGTATTTCAGATGAAGCCACTAACCTGCTCCAACAGCCCAGAGAAGGTCAGCTCTGCTGTGGGAGGTCCAGAGCACACAGAGATTTATATTTCCCAAGCGCTGCCCTCTCTCCAAGGCACTCCCAAAACCAGATCCCTGCTCTGTTCTCTGTGAAAACACTGCTGTGCCTGAGAGCCCCAGGCAGTGGGAGGACACCAGCAATGGTTCTCCATCCAAACTCAGGGCAGGAGGGATCCCCAGGCCACCAAGGCCACCTCTTTTCTTTATTCTGAATTTCCTCTGAACTGGGCTCCAGCCTGGGTGACAAACATCATCTGCTGAGTGAAGCTCCTCCACCACCACGACCAATTTGGTGACACCAAGTTTAAACTGTTAAGTTGAACCAGTTCCTTCCCCACAGGAGAGGAGGAACCTAACCCTGACCTACCTAATCCTAACAACCCCATCCTGCACTGGCACCAGGTACCAGGAGGAGATGCCACTCCTGGGACACCCTAATGCCCTGTGGAGGGTGGGAAGGTGCTTTGACTGCAGGGTCTTGGAGTTGGGAGCATTCCCCTCACAATTCTAAAAAGCAAAGTGGTACAATGCATAAAAATGACTGCATATTATAAAAATGACAGCGAAAAGGGAAAGCCCTCCTTTGCCACTCACATCAAGGGAAGCAGCTACACGACAGATTCCTGGAGAAGGGTCCAACCCTCCTTGTCCTATTAGCAGCAAATAATGGCACCTTCCTCACTAATTTCTCTTTTGCTAATTGCTAAAATGGAGCAGGGAGGTGGGAGTAATAATAGTTTCAGGAACTGCTGGATGCCCATTCTCCTCCATCACTGGCACGGACGGCTCTGGGCTCTGTGGAGTGTGAGATTTGCAACAAGGCAGCCCATTTTTTACCTTTGCTGCCTTCCCGGGCACGCAGGAACAGCGTCTGTAAATCTCCAAAACATGGGAGTTACAAGACTATTCCAGCCCAGGCAAACTCCCCCGGGAATGTGATCAGACACAGGATGAAGTGCGTTTTGGACACAAGCGCATTAGCGTTGGGTAACATGAAATTGCCTGTGAACTATTGATTCATTTGAATGATATTATCCTGCTGCCTTCCCTGACGGGTTATCCATTTACCCACGGCATCCTGTCAGCCCGTGCAACGAGGGCAGGTGGCTAATGAGGAGCTGGGCTGGAGGAGATCCTGGATGCAAACGGAGCAGCAGGAGATGCGCTGAGCCCCCGTAAAAAACACCATCTCCCTGCAGCCAGAGCTGGGAGGCAAATTGTGCAGGGCACAAGGCAGACAGCTGCCTGACTGCCCTCCTGGCTTGGTTGTACACAGAAGGAAAATGGGATGTTTTGTACCAGAACAGCCACACAGTCCAAGGCTTTGTTCTCAGGCCAGACCGCCCCAGCCTCCCTCCCTGCATGTATCCATTGTGCCTCTTCTCCCCTGAAAACATCCCTAAGCTTTTGAGGCTGCAGGTTTGTTGTGCTCTGCTCCTTAAATTAGCAACTAATGGGCGAGGGAACGGGTCTCTCTTCCCGCAGGGAACCCGAGGCAGGGGTGAGGTTTGTTCCAGCTGAACCCACAGCTCTGACTGCTCCGAGCGCCGGGGTCACTCCTGGCCCCTCGCCCAGCTCACGGCACAGTTTTTGGAGGGATCCCCACCTGCATCAGCCCCATTTCCTCGGGGAGGTTCTCCGGGGCTGGAGGCAGCTGCCAGGGCTCGCTGCCTGCAAAGCAACCGCAGGCAGACCCCGACACACTCCCCCCAGAGACACCAATTTGCTCCGGTTCAAATGTCAGCAGCAGCTTTTCCCAGCTCTCATTAGCAGTGGCTGGTTGGGTCTTTTCCTACAGCCAGCACTCCCCATCCACATCCATCTTTTTCCAGGCAAGCCTCCAGCTGCAGAAAACCCCATGTCTGTGGCTGTCATGTCCATAAAGCACCAGCTCTGTGAGACAGGGGGGTGCCATGGCCTGCACCTGACCCTTTCCCCCCACTGCCCCCTGCCCCTTCCCTCTGCTCCAGCTCCAATCTCTGGCCTCTAAACGTTTTTTCCACCAGATATTCACAAAACCACTCTGCAGACCCAGGTCAGGGGGAAATGAGCCGTGAGCTGCCTATGCAATGAGATGGAGATAAACCACCCTTGGGGGACACACTTCATTTGCAGTGGGATAAGAGAGATTTGGTAAGGTCAGGCTTTGCAAGGAGGGCAAAGGGGTGAGAGCATCCAGATACTCAGCTCAGCTTCTGTCCCCGTCTGGGCTTTTTTTCTTTTTTTCCCTTTTTACACACTCATTCACCACGCTTGACATTTCCAAACCCACGTTTTGCAAACACAAAACTCATCTGCCATTCAAGGCCTGCAGCTCTCAGCTGATTTCCCGCGGCAAGAGGCAAACACAGGCAGGACAAGGGGTGGAAAACCCCGATCTCAGGGGTATTTTCAGATGGAGAGCCAAAGATTTCTCACTGAGACAGAGTAAAACTGACTTTTGCCTAAGCTCCCACCTTGCCTCAGCTGCTGGACAGAGCTGAGGGACCTAATTCCTGCACTAAACACCTTCACAGCTGCCTTTCTCTCCTCACATAGTTCCTCTTCCTTACCCTCAGTGCTGGCTGGTGCTTTTGCAGGCTAGAAGACAACTTTCCAATGCAATAAGAGCAAGAAGCCATTAGGAAAATAACTCACATTCTGTTTAAAAGGGGACTCCAAGGCTCCTCCACCTGTGCAAATACAGCTTTGTAACCACAGGCTTTCAGGCAGGTGGACACGGGAGGATGTGAATCAAAGAGATGGGTTCAAATAGCATCTCCCTTAATATCTCTGTTCCATCACTAAGAATTTCCCCCCCCTTCCCTACACTGCAGCAATTGCAATAGTTGACCAACACTTTGCCCTCCACCTCAGTCCAACCTGAGGTGCAGAGAAGACCACCAGGAGTGATGCCAAGGTGAATTTCTGGGAGACACAAATCCTGAATTCTTCCCCCTCTTTTCACTCTATTTTTAAAACACCCACCAGAAGTCAACATTCTGCTTCAAGAGGCATCATGGAAAAATAGTCCCAGAGTGTCAGCAGCCAAAATTAATGAACTTTTACAGGTGAAAAATCCCTGGGCTTTGCTCAAACCACAGCAAATTCTGCAGCAGCACCAGGCAATTACAGTGTAGATTTTCTGACTTTTATACTGCAGGGCTGCAACCTCTAAATATGTGCTGTTAAATAACAACACTTAGCAATTCTATGGCACTCTATATTTTCCAAGTGCTAGGCACACATTAGCTAATTGAATACAAAGGGCTTCCCTGGGAGACGAGGCTGGAGGAGTTATTAGAGGGTGAAGTCACTCCTATGCTTCAGGAAGCACTCAACCTGCACTCTCACTTCATAGCAGGAGACAAAACCTCTGGAGTGACCCCAACATTCAGATCACTGGGAGAACCTGGCTAATAAAAGCCACACAGCCAAGCCAGGGCCTCAGCACCCTCCCAGGGAACAATTTCTTCCCAATATCTGATCTAAATCTGCCCTCCTTCAGCTTAAAGCCATTCCCCCTTGTCCTGTCACTCCAAGCCCTAGTGAAAATCCCCTCTCCAGCCTTCTTGCAGGTCACCTTTAGGCACTGGAAGGTGCTATAAGCTCACCCCAAAGCCTTCTCTTCTCTAGGCAGAACATCCCAAAACAGACACGGGTTGACAGGCATCAAAGCCAGCATTCCTGTATAAGCACATCATTAATGAAGTATCCTCCCAAAAACACACCTCAGTGGCCCACTCCCAGGCTACAGGACACCCCACAAATGTGGGGAGACACCAAAGGGACACTTCAGTGTCCATCCTGAGATTGCCTGGCAGCTTTTAGGCAGGAGCCAAACCTCCAGCCAGTGCAAAGTCAGCACAGCTCTGGTGACTTCACTGCTGACATCCCTGGGTGCCAGTGTGCACCACCACTCACCATTTTAGGGTTAACCAGAGGAGAGAAATTATCCCAGCTCGGGATCTTTGGGCAAACAGACTCCAAGGAGTCTCTCCCCAGGTCTTCCCTCACCACCGGTCCCGCTGCTTCCCAAGTCTGGGAAGAAGAGGCTGGAGGCTTTGGTGTGGAAAAGGCCAGTCAGGCAGGGGACTATCAGTGTCATACCAGCCTGCCTGGGGAGCAGATGTGTCTGAGAGTGTGGAGCTGCCTCCCCTGCTCTGCCACGCCGCCGTCTCGCTCCAGCGAGTGGCTCCCGGTAATTGCTCCCCCCGCAGTGCCCAGTTTGTATTCAGCACTCTCTGCATCAGCTATTGAGCTCCTTCCAGCTGCATTGATCGAGCTGGTGATATTGCTCTGCATCCCATTTGTGTGAGCACAGCCTTGCTCCCCCACTCGATCCTTATCACATTTTTAATAACCCGGATCACCCGGGAAGCAGGGAGACAGTGATCACTCCCTGCAGGATGGAGACCTGTCGGGGGCTCAGTTCATTTTCGGTGCCACCAAGACCTTCCCACACCCTGCTTGTCCTCACCCCATCCCAAGCCCCCAGCAGGAACAGGATTTGCTCAATTCAACCCACAC